CACGTCCTAATAAGGAGAGAAAAGAAAACAAAAGAGAGTAGCCGTCCAGTAATAGCCTGCTAAATCTTAAGATAATGAATTTATCTATATTACCTAGGTATTTTGCTAGATCTGTATTCTGCTAGATTTGGATATTAAGAGTTTCTAGTTTCTAGTTTCTAGTTTCTAATTTCAAGTTAGTCTGCTATACTATACCGATAATCCTCACCCAATTCATTCCCACTCACGAATGAAAAGAAAAAGCACGTACATCAAGACTCAACAGAGAAAGCTCAGCTCCCAGCTCCCAGCTCCCAGCTCTCAGCCCCAAAAAGCCATCATCAGAAAAGCGGCTCACCCCGCCGATCAAAAGAAGCGAATACCCACCTACCTACCTACCTATCTTGGCTCACCACCGCCCTTTGAATCGAGTCTAGATCTATTATTTGATTTTGTATATAAGCCTCACCGAATAAAAAAATGAAATCTTATTCATGCAAGTAAAACTTTGAATTTCGGATATTCATTATTCTTTCTCCGCTTGTAAATCATAATTCTTAATATATTTCATTCTTTCCCGCGTTCCGACTGCCATTCCCTCATATCTATTCTCTTCGCTCCCCTTAAAAGTGTATTCGCCATTCCATGCATGCATGCGTACAATCATCCATCCACCCATCCATCCATCCCAAACCCCCCAAAATACAATAAAAATATAACTCAACGCTCTACTCCCCAATCAACAAACCAACTCGCCCATTCATTTGCTTTTCCCCACAAAACTCTACCTCTTTAAATCCTTAACCTTAATCTCTCCACCTCCTCTCCCAGTCTTTCCTTTGCCATTTCCATATCCTTCTACCCCCATCTCTCGCATAGCTTGCTCAACCATATGTACAGCCTCTATACATACATCACCACCGTTCCTCCAAGCTCTGAGCGTTACACCTTGTCCATCAAGAATGTCTTTTGAGCGCTTCCAACGGCGTCTCCAGAGATCGAATTTTTTGTTTGCTGGTGCTCCACTGGATGTTCGGTGAAATTCATCGTCTGATGAATCAGGGGAGCTGGATATTGAAGAATTAATGGTAGATTTTCGACTTGGGAGAGGCGGTGGTCCATTATTTGATGATGGACTATATGATGGATCGAATGCAGGTTGGGGCCTTGGATTCGATTCACCCATGCCTGGTATATAAGATCTCATTTCTGGAAGATTGTTATAGGTCTCTGTAACTTTATGACGAGCACTAGATATATAACCTTCACTAGATGATTCTGATAACTCTGCACTACTTTGTGCCTGCTTCAATGGATGATTATTTACACTGCCATGGATAGCACCTGAACGACGAGGTTTTGGTGGTGGTGGTGGAGTATTTTGCTTTGGAGGTTCGGATGATTCGGGTGGAACCATTGTGATTGTACTTGCTCCACGAAGGGATAATGGCTTAGAAGGTCGAGGTGGAGGAGCTTTCCCATCATTGGCGGATTTTCGTCGTGGAACATTTGGTACTTCCATCTCTGACATAGATCGAGGTACTACTTTCCTATGAGATTTATGTATTGGCTCGTTCTCAGGCTCATCTCCGAAATCAATAAGGGTTCCCATTGTTGGACCATTACTGGTCTGGAGTTTAGTTTCCGAGGGCACTCTGGGAGGCAAAGATGGTCGTTTCTCTGATAGCTCAGATTTACTAAATGTAGATGATCTCCTGCTATCAATGGATTGCGTCCGAGATTGTGTTCGAGATTGAGGTTCAAACCTTCGACGGTCTCCGCTGAGTGGGCCCAATGCAGGATCAAAGAAACCTATATCTTCAGGTGTTGTGACATCTCTGATAAAGATACCCAGGATCTTCCCCGGATTTGCTAAAACGACATCGGTATAGACTTCTAAATCTGCTTCACCACTATCTCCAATCAAAATGAATTTCCTTTCCGGAAAATCTCGCATGATCTTCTCAAGGGTACCCTTCTTTCTTTCTGCAACAGGTTCAAAAATACCCTGAAGCATCCCGCTGTATTGTTTTAGGTGATAAGATCCAGGCGGTAGCCCTGCTTTTCTGAAAAAGCTCACCAAGACTGGAAACAATTGCCAAGGTGAATTGGATACATAGTGTACCCCAACACCCATATCATACATTGTGTTATACCATTCCCTGACACCTTCAATTGTGAGATCAGCAAATTCACGAATGAAGACATTTCTGAAAATCTCTCTTGATCCTGCACCAATTGAAGAGTGCTTGATTGTATCGTCAACATCAGTAATGAGACTAACTCCTTTTGGTTCTGTAATTTTGACTTCTTCAATTGCTGAAAGGTTTTCGGAAGCCAACACTCTAACATGTGTGGGAACAAACTCTAAAGCGGCTCGCATAATGAAATGGCCTGCTTCGTTTGTTTCTATTGTTCGCGATGAAGAATTCTTCTCATCATAAAAGAAAACCGTAATTGCTGTTTCAACCTTTGGATTCGTAAGGAATGGTCTTAATCGTGCCATCAAATGAGCGTTTGCTGTTAATAGTTCCGCTTGGGTCATCTCGGATGGTTGGTTCCATGATGTGCGTTTTGTTAGACGACTTGGAGCAGGTGATGACTCTGGTGATACCCGTGAACTGCTGCCCCGCTGCCTACCGCGTTCACTATAGATACTATCACCATCCGATTCCCGTTTTGGCTTTTCACTATAGTCACCCCGTAGTGCTGCCTCCTCCTCCCCTCGACCCTTTTTCAATATCTGTTCTGCTTCTCGGGCAATCTTCTCCTCATCACGCCTCTGTTCGAGTTCTCTATGTTTTGCTCTTAATGAATTTGAATCCGGACTGGTCTCTCGAGAACCAGATTTTGGTGCTGGGATCCCACTTAACTGGCGTGCAAGACCAATGAGTAACCTGTTCTTTCTTGTCATAGGTCCTCTATGAGGAGAGTAAAGCCATCCCCTAACATCCACATCAACTATAGCCCTATCATCCTCATATTTTTGCCATTCCCTCGCCCAATATTCCGCATCTCCGGGTTCGTTCAATTTAGGATTCATGTTGGCATTTTCAAAAAATGGTTTCTCTTTGGTATGTCTCCGCGCATATGATGGAAATAATATCATTTGTTCATCGCCATGAGAAACAATAGATACATCCGGAAATGAACCTGGTATTCCATGTTCATCGTCATCTAATCCACTACTCCCGCCCCATTTCTCCGAGTATGATTGTTGATACGATTGACGAAGTTCGTTTGCAGCTTTCAAATACCCTGCCAATTTCCCCCTCTTTCCCCCTCGTTTTTTATCCTCCCCGTATCCATCTGCGACATAGCCAGACATCGAATTGGATGATGGGTTCAGCTTTCTAGAAGCCGTCGCATTGTCTTTAGAACCGCCACCGAAGAATCTTCTCACTGGTCTTCCAAGAATTTGAAAGGCAGTTTTCCCAGCAGCTCTCTTTCTCTTTCGGTTTAACTGAGTCCTGACTATGTAATTATAGATTCGTGATTGTGCGCCGAGTTTGTAGGATGGGAATGTTTCGAATCTGAAATTTGCAAAGCGCTGGCGGATAGTCTGCCGAGAGTGTGGAAATAGGTATCGGAGAAAAGATGTCCTACGATGAGGATTACCTGTTCGACGAAATGAAGGAGGAGCCACGATAAATGTGCGAGGCTGTCAGCCTGAATGATGTTGAGTGCTGTGGAGACGTTCCAGTCCTTTTACCTAGGTAGTTGGGTCGGTGTTAAAAGGAACAAGCTAATAATAAATAGCAAACCCAAGCCTGCTTATTATTTATGTTATGATCTGACAATACTTACTGGGGTTATGAGGAAAAATAAGGGCTGAGATTTTGATCAATTGTTTTTCATTGTACGAGTGAATAATTAAACATTGACGAACTTGGAATTATAAAGTTAACCCTAGGTAGGTAGGTAGGTAGGTAGGAAGAAAAGGTACCAGTTGAGCCAGTATCAAATGATCCATGTGCCAAGAGCCATCAAGATGGGAATTTGGGAATTTGGGCATTTGGTCATTTCCTCAATATTTTCATACTTGGTTATCTACGAGAAGACGTCCTTACTATCATTGTCCTAGCTTTATTACTTGCTTACCTTACCTTACCTCCTTGGGTCCTTGGGTCCTTGGGTATCCATTATCCATGGATTTCATAGGAATTACATCCTACGTCACTTTTGGAAAAGGCGGTGCACCCTGTCCTGTTCAGCCCAGCCCTACAATCAAAATAAGGTTAACCGATTTACAAGTCAAGTAGATTTACTACTACCAAGATATAAAGATAAAGGTATACCGGTATAATAATGATAATGATAATAAGTGATATATATACCTAGGTAATACATCTACATACAAAGTATAGACAGAATAAACAGAATAAGCAAATAGATATGAAACTTTCTCTCTCACAACCATCACACAGAAACAAATATACCATCAAATCTAGAATCGATCGTCTTGGGGTGAGACACGTAGTCTCGCAATCTGAATTGTATTGATTTCTTAAAATACATAGTCATCTATGTAGTCATGTCATTTGAAAATGACCCAGACTAATTCTCGCGGCATCTTTCAACCAATGCTTGCTGTCGTGTCAATTTCATTTGACAAACTCCCCCCTTTCCCTTTCCCTCGACCCTCAATAAAGTGAAGCAATAGCCTCTAAGAACGCCGGTGCCGGATTATTTTCAGGAGGATCTGCCCTTTCAATTTGCCTCAACACTGTACCCAGGCCTGAATGTGAATTTTCATTATTACGGCTTTACCCCGAAGGAATATCAAGGAAGTAGGTGATACTTAAAGATTTACTTAATGAAATAATTGAATGAATGAATGTGTTGATGCGAACTGCCTCAGGTCAGTAAGTTATTAAGTTGGTCGTTTTTCCGTTTTTTTCTTCTTCTTTTCAAATCCGATTATATGATCGCAATGATCGAAAGCTAATGTAGAGCAAGCCTGTCGTTAGATACCATCAATGACAGTAGAGTAAGAGAGGATATGGTTCCACACTGAATCATTATCCAGCAGCAACTACCTGCCGTCTCTTTGTGGATGCATTTTCAACGTCCTAGATAAATTGTTAGTAATGCTTGGAATGATTCTGAGAAAAATCCCAATCAAAAATGAGATCTTCCGCCTTTAACCTTGGGCCATATCCCGAACGAGGGATTGGCTTTAACATACATCTGCTGAAGCACGCTTCTTTTTCTTTTGAGAACGAGTTGGCTTGACCTCGCCTTCAGTAAAGACGTCGTCTGGAAGGTCGCAGCTATGAATCATAAATCAGTATTTCTCATCATCTGATTCAACAAAGGGGCACAAACTTTCGAGTGTTAACGACAGATAAAGTCATAAGCTCTTCGTTATACTTCTCCCAACCTCTACACACTCGCTTAAACTCATCAACACACCATGCAAGATCGAGCGATTTAGCGCCTAAGATTGTTAGTAGCTGGGCCTCGGAATATATCATAGAAGCTTGTAATTAGAATGCATGTTCCAAATATCATAATCGTGACAGCAGTAAGATCGCTCATAAATGTGAGGTGATGGTGGTTCACTTACCTTCGCGAAGCTCGAGGCCGATATAAAATGTTGTTGTGTAAACTAATGATTCCTTTTTCTCAGATTCGGATTTTGGTGCATCTCCATTCTCATCCTTGACTTCCCCAGTCTGGTCCTTTACCGCAATTCCTAAGTCTGTATCATGAGATGGGTCCGTAGTCACTGCTGGGATTTCTTTGATCTGGTATTGTAGATTGCCCTCTTTTACCGCTTCGATTTCGTCCTCGGAACTGCATTTGTGAACTCGTTCGAATCCCTTGTTGAATGGATGTGCCAACGCGATTGATTCGTGGTTTTCTACATTAGAAACTAAAAGTCTAACTTTTGATTCAACCAAACCAGCCCAGATAAGTTGAGCCGCGGTTGTAGTACTGGCGGAAATGACGGAGAGGTAGTATTTGTAGTTTTTGGTGAAAAATGTGTGTTTGACGAACAAGTCTTTCCAGGATGCTTTGCCCATCATAATTCTATCCGTGATATTTCCTCCACGAGCAAGTTCCCGACAGATGATCTCTTTGGTTGATTTTGTTATATTATGAGTAGCACACATAGAGGGATATGAAGGGGTAATGATTGGCATGAGATGGTAACCGTCGCCTTTGTAAACCTATCAAAGTCAATTAAACCCGAGTATGTTGCAGGAGAAAAACTTACTCTTGGATTCCAGACACGAACGTTAAGCTTACCACCTTTAATTGCCTGCAGTAGGACTGGTTGCGGCCACTGCCACTGAGACATGATACGGAAAAATTTGAGGATGACTGTAGAAGCGGTAGCTTGTGGATATAATTGACATACTCTAGCCACCAGCATGGCCCAGGCGACACCTCCAGGGAAACCCATAATGTTTGCATAGATAGCTCGTCTCTGCGCCCAAAGTTTAACTCCCCTTAGAGCAGTTCTGAATACTGCCTTTTCCGGTACCAAATTCAAGATATCATCGGTAACTCGCGTTCCATTCAGAGAGCGTAAGCCGGCTTCATCCAAACCCGCCAATAAGTTGTCGTCATTCAAGCTTAGGGACCTTGAAATTTGAGAAAGTACTTCGATACGTGCGAAGATCAAATCGATGCTGATGCCGGAATATTCAAACTTAATAATTGGGACGAATGCATCTGGAACAGGCGTTAGGTCTGTAATAGCTCCCTCTGGCGCCAATTCAACGAGAAGATCTGGGAAAAGTTCGAAATATTCTTCGCGGGAAACGTTCTTGGGTACGACAACCAGAGTATCGATATCAGAGCCAGGTCCATAAACACCAAGTCGAAAACTACCATATGTAAAGATTCTACCGCCGGCATTGTTGACAATATTCTCCGGTAGGTTCTGCTTTCTGCAAACTCGTTTTACAAATTCTTCGGTGATGGATTGTAAAGAAGCAAGGACGGTGGATCTGCGCAAAATGTATGTCAGTAATGAAATAGATAAGAATGAAGCAAGATGTTCCGAGATATGATTGATCTGCGGATTTGAAAGAAACAGAAAATAATAATCGCAACCACATACCTCTTTTCGGTATCAGCGCGACTTTCAAAAAGATTCTCTTTTGTCATTTCGTCAATCAGCGCATCAGTTGCTTGCTTCTCAGCATCCGTTGGAAGCGCGGTAGATAAAGGCGGAGTGATGCCCAATTGCCTGGGGGCTGCAGCTGCCATTTTGATGAAGATACCGAGACTGAAAGCTTTGAACTGGCTTCCAAGGCTGTCGAGATGAACAGCTTAAAATTAATATTGGTATCAATGTTTGGTTGTTTGGTTGTCTTGTTAAAGAAGATTGATAGAAAGTCAAACGCCGGCGCGACCATAAATTGGTCTACTATCATGCATAAGCGAACTATTTATTTTAGGTTCACTTGGAAAGCTTCACCCCCACTTGTACCATGAGAAGCGGGAACTAGAATAGTTTCCCTGTGCCTACCTAAGCAAGTGAATAATACTGTACACCGTACCTTCCTTGTATTCACTTGATGAAGATCCTAATCTTTTAATATCTCTAAACTTCATTTTCTTGATAAAAACAATTATCGAAGGTTTATGAAGAGATTAAACGTACGAGATGGCCGATTCTAATAATGCTTGGGAGGGCAACGAGGAAACTCAAAATGATCCTGATGAGAAGAGAGTGCTTCATCAAGCCTTGGATTCTTTCTAGTAAGGATAGTTCTATTTGATGACGGCATCTTTGAGTCCGATAAGAAGATGGGATCCGGCTAGAATCGTAACACCACCTAATTCATGGGACTATCAAGCGAGTTCTATCTGTGCCATGTTAGGGGGGACCTGTACGTGTTCGGTGAGCACGGGAGCCGATGAAATATGATATATGCATGCTCATTGATATACACATATGTCTCTTCTTATTACCACACAAATACATGTACTCTTATTGACATACACACTAGCCACTACCAAAAGACCGCTCACTACAACACCACTCATCTACGAAGACAAGCCTTCTACGCCTTACCTCGAGCTCACTGGGAACTTCTCGCATCACCACCCATTAATTACCTAGATACCTTAATAGCCGTCGACGACGCTATAGATCAAAATGCCGAACTCTCAGAAGCCATCTTATCAGCGGCCCTCCCATCCTTCAATCTTCCCTATCCCTCTTCAAACTTCAACCCTTCCACCAAATCTCCCGATGATTTCCGAGGTACAGCAACCTCAGGTGATCTCGAAAAGGCCCGAAGTACCCTCCGGCAAATGTATCGAGACTGGTCTTCCGAAGGAGCAGTCGAACGCGAAGCATCCTACCGCCCTGTAATCCGCGCCCTCCAAGACGAAAAAGCTAGATCCTCTCCCCTCAAACGCAATATGCGCGTCCTAGTTCCAGGCGCAGGTCTTGGACGTCTAGTATTTGATCTTTGTATGCAAGGGTTCGACGTCGAAGGCAATGAAATTAGTTATCATCAACTTCTTGCCAGCGCCTATATTCTCAATTTCTGTCCCCAAAAGGAAAATCATACTATTTTCCCTTGGGTTCATTCCTTCTCCAATCACAAAACTCGAAGCAATCATCTCCGATCCGTCAAAATCCCAGATGTTCACCCAGGAGATGCGTTAAACTCCAACCCACAAGCAGGAGAAATGACAATGAGTGCCTCCGATTTCCTCCTCTTATATGGTGATGAAGAACGTGCCGAATCTTTCGACGCAGTAGCCGCTGTCTTCTTCCTTGATACAGCTCCAAACATCATCCGCTATCTCGAAGCTATTCGCAACTGCCTCAAACCTGGCGGCATACTCATAAATATGGGACCACTCCTCTGGCATTTTGAAAACAATCCTCCTGGTTCCTCTACCCCTCCATCATCAAAACAACCTAGCGATCAGATTCAGGATCATGGTATTGCCGATCCTGGAAGCATCGAACTTACAAACTCAGAAGTACTGCTTCTACTTCCTAAATTGGGGTTTGAGGTCCTTACTTCCTCGACTGATTTAAGAGCGCCCTACATTCAAGACCCAGATTCCATGCTACAAAATACTTATTCGGCTAGTTTTTGGGTGGCGAGGAAGAGCGAGGAGAGAGGAAATTCGAATCATGGACATGCACAGCCACGCGATAATGGTATGCAAGAAGGAAAACATGAACATGGTATCCCAGCCATAATTCGAGAAGAGGACGAAGAAGGAATTGAAGAAGCACCGGCAGGCTGGGTATAGATTTTTCTGCTTGCGTTGTAAATAAAGATCTTATGAGTAAATGAGCGAGAGTTAAGAAAGAGCTAGGTAGACCGATGATAAGATATACAGAAAACCTTCCAGAGATCGAATAACACATGAGCATACAAGATTGATAGTATCAAAAACCCAGATCTGATTTAGTGAGCCTGTATCCAGCTCGTAGGCTTTGATATCTAATTCACCTTGGGAAATATAATCCAATGTAGATCCGTATGATTTCCTGATCCTCGCAATCAAATGAAATAGCCAATATAAAGTAGAGCTAGTAATTATTCATCGACCATTCCCCTTTTCCTTTCCTTCACAAGATCAGAAAGACACCAATTGACAATTCTATTCAGTCATATGAATCAAGTGATCGGATTCCATATAGATAGTATATGAATTGAACCCATCATCTCCTCCAACGTACTGTCCCTCCCCTTCTTTCATCACATCTCTTCGTCTACGAAGGAAGGGCGTGGAATGCCCCCCTCTCTCTTACCCATCCTCTAGCATCAACAGGTCTTAGCGATTGCACAACACTAATACGGCAAATTGAACTAGATACTAGGTATATATATGCAAAAAACTCTATTATATCCAGAACAGAAATCATATAATCTTTATAGTACAGAATGGCCTTCCCCAAAACCAAAAATACCTTAACACGATAAATTTCTCGCAATCTATAAAGCATTTCACATTCCCTCTCCCTCTATTACCTTTCCCCCCTCACAACCACCCAACAAACCCTCAAAACAACAAAACAACAAAACCATTCAAACACAGACAACGAATCACAAAGAGTAAAGATCGTGCTAATCTACTAATTCCATTGCATACGTATATCCATATTCAAACATTTATCCAAACAACTATCTCATGCATCATGTATCATACATCATTCCATCATCCATCATATTTAAATCCTCGTATCTTCATATATGAATATTTTTTTCTTTTCCATATCTTGATTTCCCGATTCCTTAATATACAATCTCGTAAACCATTAATCTTCAACTCATTTTCTGCGTGGGGAATATAAAAGCAAAAGTCAAAACTCCCAAGATTCAAACAAAAACAAAAAAAACAAATGCGTATCCAATCTAGTACCACCCAATCGTTAAATCGTCTCTTTTCTGATCTTCTGATTTTTTCATCGCTTCATTTCCCCTCCTTTTCATCTCACATTTCATGTCTCCGAGCCCTTTCTCAACTTAATCATAACCCTTGACTTTTGGCCCCAGTACTCATTCCACTCCCCCTTTCACTCCACCTCTGCCGATCCCTCCTACTCTCTCCAAGTCTACTCGGTACGGGACTATGTCCGCGTTTTCTCTCATCATAATTGTATCCCCTCCCATGCCATCTTTCACCCTCTCCTTCATACCCACTATCCCTCTCCCTCTCTCTTTCCTTCTCAACCCTCTCTCTTTCTCTTTCTCTCTCTCTATCCACTCTACTCCTCTCCCTAGCCCTCGCACTAACCCCACTTCTTGTCCCTGGTGTCCTCGCCCCACTCATAACCGTACTCGCTCCCACCTCACTCCTCTCCCACGTATCGATCGTCCTAGCTGTACTTCTCGCCCTCGCCCCCCTTGATTTTGGCGTCCTACTTTTCTCCCTCTCTCTTTGAGTCAAAACCGTACTTTCAATATCGCTTCGCTCCCAACTATCCACACTTCTAGGAACGCTCAACTCTCTTTCCCTGACACTTACACCCGGACTCTTTAAATCTCTTTCTCCAAGTCCGCTTCGCCCTCGCGATCTATTTCTAGGCGTAGGCGTAAAAATAGTGCTTTCACCCACTTCACTTCTCTCCCATGTATCGATTGTTCTCGCCGTACTTCTAGCACGATCACGAGCGCCGACTCTAGATCTACGATTCGTGCGTTCGTCTGGACTATCGTGTTCTTCGAATACGACAATTTCATCCTGTTCCTGGGGTTGGATTTCGACTCGAGATCGTCTAGGCTTCTCTTTCTTTTCATTTTCCTCTTCTCCAATAGGGACAATTCTAATTCTCGAATTCGTCGCGTTTGTCGTATTTCCGCTGATCCCCGCTCTTCTCTCCTCCATCTCCCTCATATCTTTCTCTAATTCCGAATCCCTCGGATCAGCCGTAACCTTCGTGCGACTTCTAACCGGTAATTCACCCAATCTCTCTCCAAATCCCTGGCCATAAACCCCCGGTTTTCGAGACTTCCTTCTTTCTCCATTATAACTCGAGAACCCATGTAGTTTATCCAGCTTTTCATCCGGTTCCAATTCCTCCCCAATAATCACCGGCCCACTTCCATAACTAACCACCTCATCTCTTCCCGCTCTATTTCTTCTTCTTCCTAAGTCTCCATTCACAGCTGTATCTCCCAATAACAAATCATCGGCTGTCATATGACCCTTTTCCGTCCCTGCTCTAGATGTTCGATGAGATCTTCTCTTTTTCTTTTTGCGTCGTCGATGCATAAGTGATTCTTGATATTTAACCCGGTCTGTGCTCATGGAAAATTAGATAATCAGCAAATTGGTATACTAAGATTGGAGTTGAGAGATGACAACTCCTCATTACATCATCATTTCATCTAAAGATGGTTCTGATATGTGACGTGATGTGATAAAACTATTAAAACTTCAGATAATAAAAAATGCTCTTCTTGAGCGCTCAGCCATTAATGTTTTGGTATCAATCCCCCCTTTTTTAAAAAGAAATAAGAAAGAAAAACATGACAGCGTAGAATGAACGGTCGTTAATGTTTGGAAGAAAGCAACCTCTGAAAATGAGAAGTAAACTTCAACGCATCCCCTCAATACAAACATCAAATTAGATCATCAGACGGAAACTAGCCCCCAATAAATCAAACGCTTATGAATAGTACTTTAGGTATCACTTTCACGTCTTGCATCAATTTCTGCTGAGATTATAGCCCTACGATCATCTGCAGTCGCCTCATCAATAACCTTGTGAAACATTCCCTTACCTTTATTCAATAGGAGTAATTTTCTCTCATATGGACCGAGATTTTCTTCAACAATAGTTTGAATGACGGGTGCGTTCTTTTCTGGTCCATCATATTCCCATACCCATCTCAGGTCGCTGGTTCTTTCATCATCCAATGCTGCTGGAGCTGTTGGACCCCATGTGGCTGTTGGTGGAATAGGATCAGTGACTTTGATTCGAATTTGATCTAGGCGCCATGGTCCTTTCTTTAAAAGTGCTGGACACTTATACTTTGTCATATCCTCTTCACCAAGTCCCCCGAGATCAAGTCTAATTCTTACACTTGAATGGATACGTTCATTAGTATGTGTCATTGGTATTCCAGTTGGAGCACCAGTATCTGGATCTAAACGATGGTAAAGACCAGGAGTTCTAGTCTCTTTACCTGCTAGGGTCCACTAGTAAATGTTAGTTTACCTGCTCTCCGATGAAGAGCTAAATGATGTTAGAACTTGACCAGTAATATGTACTTACAATTCCAGTATCTGAGTTATAAATCTTCCCAAGAGCCCATGGACGAACTGGATGATGTTTCTCATAAACGGCAGGCGTTGCCCATTCGTTAATTGGCTTCGAAAACCTAAAGATAGATGTGGAAGGAGGTGGTAGAGTTTCGTAATAATGGACGCTCTTTTGAAATATTACGTCAATGGCATCTTCGTGAAAAGAGACCCCAATGGAGGCAAGCTGATCCATCATCCAGGCCAAAGTAATGTTTGCGATTTCCTGATCATCGTAACCTCCTCCAACATTGGCATGACTTCCTGGGAACCAGACTTGTCGCAAGTCAGTGGGTTCATCTTCGAAATCTCTTATCTCCCAAACGGCGGGACTAAAAGGTCTTCGATGTTCGTCGAGTGCCAAAGCTTGGAAAGCATGTCTGATGTAGCCTGAAAGATTCGTATCGTGAAACTTGTACTCCTTAGTAGAATGTGGAAGTCCAAGTTTTGCAAGAAGAGCGATATTTGGAATACCCAAAGATCCTACAGTATCCCACACAGCAACCGCATGAACTCTGATTCTAGATCCATTCGGGTCATAAACCCGGGTTAAATTTTGTTCTACCAATCTCTTCTTGTACTCATCACCATCCTTTGGTTTGTTTGAAAAAGGTATATCCGGAAAGATATCTTTGTAATTGGCATTTCTGAAGTTTTCCTGGTCTTTGAATATAGCATAAAAGTTCGACATGCCATAACGAGTGAGTAATCCAATGTCAGAGATCATTCCTGCAACACTTCTGGCAGTGAAGGCACCACGAGAGAACCCAACAAGAATTATTTCATCTCCGGGAGTATAGTTCGCGGCAATAAAACTATAAACTTCACGAATGTTCTTGTCGTATGTCAGTATGCAGTTTGACATCATGTAGAATAATTCTTACCTCGGAAATACCAGTGCCAAGCATACCTCCACTGAGGGTATCCAACATACTACTACCCGTGCCTACACCAGAATGATAGTAAATGATCTGATGAGTTCCATCTGGACCATATCTTCTCAGGCATCTTGATAGGCGGGTCACGTTACTTGGAGTCTATGAAGGGGTAAAATTAGTGGATGAGCTTTGCTTGATTGGCTAGAAAATGGAGATGGCGGTGAAGGGGGCATGCTACGATAACGTTCAAAACAAATAACGCCAACCTCAAATTTGATGAAGGAGGGATGTATTTTATATAATGAGAATAAGATGTGTATAACTCACCTGTAATGTACCAGTTGGTTTGTAGGGAATCAGTGTCGGTTTAGTGAATCCATCATCACTGATATTGATAGTCAGCAATTTTGATCATATGACCTGAATGAAGGGGAATTATGGGAACCTACCTATCCATCCATGTGCCATCACAACATAGAACTATACGTTTAGGATGAATGTGCTTTTGACCTTCAAGATCATCCATGTTGTTTCGTGTAACGTGATAACGGCGAAGAGACTGTAGTGTTCTCGGTAGGACTGAAGGACCGTTTAGTAATTTGAAACCAGGAGAACGTATGATAAAAAAAGATTGGATTCATACCGATGTTCTCAAGGGGTATATATATTTATCAATAGTAGAGAATGGGTATCAATGATATCAAGGAATGGGTGATCTGATACACTTTCCCAAATTGAATCTCAGATGCGTAATGAAGAATCACTTCGTATCAAACTCTTGAGTTCCTAGAAACTAGATATGAGGAGTGAAAAACAAATAATTTATACAAAAGCAGAAGGAGCAAGCCTCTTTTCTTCTCTTTCCTTTTTCCCCCTCGCCGGTGTATGTATTGATATCTCGATCAATATTCGCTTGATGCAACAGAATGTATCACAACTTATTTTCAGCCATCTCTTAAGAACGTTGCAGTGACACTCATCACAAAAATGGCTCTCTTTTCAGCACCGATTTGCCGTTATTCTCAAGCCTCCGACATCATTTTGATGGAGGGTGTAGCTTGCAATAGAGGGAGTATATAAGAAATACAATTTTTGTTGTTCTGGATAAACGTTAGGTCGATCAAGGTGGTGTTGAGGTTGATTACCTAGTGGGTGGTTGATGTGGTTGATCAAATTTCTTATGTGCTGGTCTCTTTCTTCCGCCTCTTTCTATGGATGAAATAACAGCTGCCAATCTCACCGTGCCAGCCCAGCCAGCCTTACAAATGATTTCATTCAAGGATTAATGGAGCATTCTGAGAAATTTTGAGGAATTTGATTCGTCAAGCTAGCTTAATGTATTTTGCCATGTCAGAGGATATGTCATTGGATGAATGGTATAAAACAACTCCATTTTGTATGTTGTGGACCCGAGGTGGCTTTACATGAACAGTGCGTTGAGAATCTTTTCTTCACCGTTGTGCCTTGATATGATCAAGAGTTATTTCTCAACCACTTGGCGTTGATGCGATAGATATCATTAAGGAGACGTTTTGACTCGAGATGCATTTTTCGTATGAGAAAGCTCTATGAGAGAAAATAGTCACTAGTGTGCCCGAAGTGTGTGTGTATGTGTGTACTTCGTATGTATGTGTATGTATGTATGTATGTGTATGTGGTAAGATTATGGTATGATGTGGATTACTTCGTACTAGTCATCATTAGTTCCCGTTTGTAACTTCTGCAGATTATCTGTACAAGTATCTCTAGTGGATGGATGCATCAATGTTAATCATTTCTCAGCTCCTTACCTCGAATTCTGTGTATATTGGAAATGATTTACGGACTCGACTCAAGGGATCGATCAAATTTGTGTCACTTTATGAAGAATATGCTACCATACTCTTTCAAGTGGTTGGAGAGATGTGAGTTTCGTGGCACAAAAATCTCTCATGTCTTATCTCACTTGCACAAGTCACCAGATAAAGTGATGCAGGCGGGGTTAATGTCCTTAGCCGTGCCGCTTTCTTGGAGTTTGACAGAACTCTGGTGTTACAATTTGATAAGACAAACGATCGTGGATACATATATGAAGTATCATCATGCACAATCAATATGTCTGTCAAGCAGACGACAGATCTTTTGACTCTGGTTGATAATTTCTACATTCGCAATGGACTCGATCAAGGAGATCAACTTACTTGTTACGAATTCGTTCAGAATGCTTTCCCAGGGAAGAATATCGAGGAGCCTGCATGTCAAGGATATTGCTCGCTGACTTTTTTGGTGGGAGACGATATCGTTATTCAATTTCGACCTGATAGATATCGATTGAATCTCATGACAACTCATGCTGCACGAGAGATATACGGGAAGTTTTGCCCTCGAATCACGTATGTTACCAGTCTCCCGAAATCCGGATTGTTAGTATATTCGATGAACCGATTACCTGGTGTCTCATTTAAAGATTTCCGAGCGAGCAACATATCCATAGCTACCAATACCGAAACTCGAGCAATGTTGTGTAAAGATTTCGCCGCATTTCTCGCAGTAGGATGGCATCAAAAAGATTGTGTATCTCTTCCGCGTGGTATTGTAGGATTATCATTGCTATCTCGCCTTGAATTACTATGCAATGATCTACCAATCCGATTTAAGCCATTAGCTGAAAGAATTCGCAAAGATATGCAATTCATTGAAGCTATGCCATGGGTACTAACTCACGGCGACATAATTTCAAGCAATATCATGATCAATCCCCTTACGCATCACCTTACTGGACTTGTTGATTGGGCAGAAGCCGAGCCTCTACCATTTGGAACTTGTTTCTATGGACTCGAAGAAATTCTCGGTGAAATTACGCCCGTCGGTTTTCATTACCATGCCGATGTGACGTATCTGCGAAAGGTTTTCTGGACAAAAATCGTCAATCTGATCCCCGAGCTGAAACAAGATGAGTTGATGAGAACAGTTAGACTTGCGAGGGACTTGGGAGTATTGCTTTGGCATGGTATTGCATGGGACGACGGTGCCATTAATCGAGTTGTAACGGAGGAGAAAGACGAGGATGCAGATGAGATAAGGAGATTAGATGCTTTCTTGGATACTGATGTTAGAGTCCAGATTACTTCTGAACCAGAGCATTCGTCAAAGCTTTAAAGAGCGCCATATATTCAACTAAGGCATGGAAAGACCGACCTGAACTCCGATGACCAATTTACATGACGATTTACAACTTCCATCCATACGATACGCTGCGAGAACGCGACCTACCTCGTTGAGAGCAAGCTGATAGCTATATCTCATACTACCATCCAATTCTCTTCTCCGAGCTGATTGAGAGTGTCAAGCAAGAATTATCTATTTCAACAATATTCAATTCTTGGCAACATCAACACCTCTCATGCCTCTCCCCTAGAGAGAGACACCAGCAACTTGTCCTCCTTCTACCCCCTCGTCTTTTTTGATGCATAAGATCGATTTATTACGATTCTACTTTCACTATCTGAAGACTTCAAGTTTCTTTTGTTTTGGAAGATCGGGCCTCACTATCTTACATATGTAGATCTATACATACATGTTTCACTTTTCTTTTCAACCTGGGTCACGTCTTTCTTAATTTCTTTTTAGCGGAGATTTTTCTTTGGCATAATTTTCATGAATCGGATACCCATTTGAGCAAGACATGACAGTTGGTGGCCTTTTTGTTCGGATTTTATTTGTTATCTGGGTATTGTTGCTCGCAATTTATTTCTTCATTCAAATTTATATTCTATTTACATGAAATGAAATGCCTAATTTTCATTCGAACGCTATATACTTCTAGATATACTACATCTACCTAACACTTCAAGGTATGTCCCAGTGCTCTAAATGTGAGTTATAAATTGCAAACCACAAATCTGAAGCTCCCAATCTAAAGTTTCGCTTTCTCCCCACCCTCGTCAATCGCTTCACCTCTACTTAACACCTCCCCCCCATCAACCACCAAGTTAGCCCCATTAACATGACTTCCTGCCCTACTAGCCAAGAAAACCACCGCGCCAGCAATATCTTCCGGTTTTCCCAATCTCCTATCCGGCACTGCTTTAGCCAGCTTCGCAGCTCCCCCTTTAGACTCCATAAGCGCATTGGCCATTTTCGATGGAAAGAATCCGGGAGAAATGGCATTGCAAAGAATATGACGGGGACCGAGTTCGACAGCGAGATTTTTGGTGAGATGGATTGCCGCAGCTTTAGAGGCCGAATACCCGATTGCAGAGTTGGGACCTGGGAGAGCGACGGCGAGGCCGGCGATGGAGGCTGTTACAATTACACGGGAGGGTTCTGAAGCGCTGGCGCGTGCTTGAAGGAGAGGTGCGAATCTGGGGGTTTGTTAGCGGATTGATTGAATTTGTATTGATGGGGGGCTTGGGAGAAAGAAGGGAAGATGGGGTACGTACAATCTCACCGTTCCAAAAACACTCTTGACGTTTAAATTCATTACTTTCGCAAACGCATCATCGGGATGGGTATCGAATTTTTCTCCCCACGTGGCTCCCGCGTTTGCGAACAAGATATCGATATGATCTGTGGTTTTGGAGACTTCGGATACCAAATGCTGGATACCTTCGATAGTTGATATATCTGCGGGGACGGAAACGGCTTTTGCACCCGGAGAGAGATTGGGAAGGGAATTGAGAGTTGCGACAGCGGCTTCGCAGGCGGAAGCTTTACGGGACGTGATGTAGACGAGAGAGCAGCCAGCTTGGAGGAAACTGAGAGTAGAGCGAGAATTAGTAGCTGGAAGGGGTGGGATGAATGATAAATGGCTAGTGTCAATGGATTTCCGCCCGGATGGAAAACTGTTTCTTCACACTTAATGAAACAGAATTACTCACGCAGAAGCAGCATGTAATCCCAATCCTCTCGATCCCCCAGTAACCACCGCGATCTTCCCCTTTAGAGAAAACAGAGACCCAAAGTCATGGAGTTGCGTGTCGTAACTAGACATTTTTTCTTTTGCGTATTCCAATAATCTTCGCTCTGTTACTCAAACGCTCGCATATACCTATACTCTACAACCAAAAGCGCGAAGAAGATATCGAGAGCAATATGGATTGAGGTGATACAATGAATGATATTTGATATATCCATCCCAGACCAATATACATATTGTACTCTCGGATAAGCATAAGCGGAGAACCCGGGGAACCGAGGTTGCGCTAGTGAACTGATAAGAATCGATAAGACATTTCGATTTTTGATAGTTGCAGCAGCAGAAGCAGCTAATAAGCTTTTTCCCACGGATAGACTTCCTATCTAGATATACGAGTTATATCAACTTCCCAGCACTTTTCTCTCTTACTCTCACGGGATAGTTCCATGATTAAGAATTCAAGCGTCATGAACTTTCACAAGGGAAAAGTTGTTGTCATGAGGTATGTGAGTGACGCTGGAGCTGGGGGTTTTGACAAGCGACGGATATCGCGATATGGGGATTATTCTATGAATGTGATATTTGGGTTTTGCTGGGGATAGCGATCGATGTTGGGCAAGGGAGGAAAATTGATCTGCAGATGTGCGTGAGGCGAAAGCATTCGAGTCCCTGTTTTATCTCCATAGTTGCTGCTACTCTGTTTTGTCTCCAGCAGCACGAAAAAGCTGGGGTATCGAAGATATATACTGTTTTCAATATTCCATGTCAAACTGTATAATTATTATTTCAAATTATAAAACTTGTATAAATCTGTTTGTAGATTTTGAAACTAGAATATATTATATATAAGCTATACGTTGAAAAAGAACTAGTATCATTATAAAGTATTGACATTCAACTATTATCAATATATGATTTGAGATAATCGTTTCTCCGTTCTCCCAGGCTCCGGTACCTGCGAAGCCGGGGGGATAGTTTTCTATGCAGTCATCTAGCATCTTGGCACCACATCCGTCCCATCAGCCTTGATTGTGATGCCGGGTGTTTTTCGGTATTTGTCTGACTCGTGAGTCGTGAGTCTCGACTCTCAAATCGCAATCATTTTGTTGCTCAAATGATTATCCTGGTTTGATACCTGTACCTGTTTGAGATGAACAATTGTGCGGCTGATTCCCCGTGGTTTTTGATGGAGATTGGTGGCAAATGCTTATGAACCTCAAAGTATAATGTTTCTGCATCAAATTGATGGCTACAAAACGTTCCCAGGCTTGCAGATATGGGGTTTAGCTCCGGCATTGGTTGCCGATTCTAAAAGAGTTCCAAGTTATTTATGCAAGAGCCTTTAGGTTGTGCTCAACATCATCTGACTTGTTTCTCGTCGCTGTTTATCGAGTAGAGTAGAGTCGAGTTATGCTTGCTTATATCAACAGTTTTCAGAGTTCTAGATCCAAGAGCTGTGAGGATATCCGATGGGCACTCACCCAATGACTTTGGTGATATTACTATTTGGAAAACAGAAGCTACCAGGAACAGCCAATCATATCAACAGTGTCGTATTCTTGGCCGTTAGCATCGCCGCATGAACACTTGAACTCGACTAACCTTACTCGGACCGTCTAGACCATACCCCACCACATTACATATTTTAGACATTTTGATTGATAAAATATCAAACCTTGGAAATCGATGATGAAAACTTGAGCGTTCATCTAATACCTGGAACACCGCTACGAAGTGACATAAAAAGCTATAAGTTTTGACATAACACGAACAGAACCGGTCTCCCAATTTAAAGTGGCAGGAAATGCTCCCTGCGTATAATACTCCGAGATAGATTAATTCTCACCAAGGATTTCCGGAAGTCAGGGTATGCATATTCCGCTTGATTGGATAATTTGAATGAATTTAGGCGTCGACCCCGCGATTTTCTTCTGAGATAGGGATATGAGTCCGACCACAGTATTATTTTATAGCACACTTTCGGGGTTGTGATTGTGAATCGCCGTTAACTTCAAGCCATTGGACTCCAACTTATTACCTCCCCGACTTTGGAGTTCCCACTTTGTACAACAATCAAATGTATCGAGCTGTGCCCGACGCTCGTATTTGGAGTATGGCCAAAGACTTTTGCGCGTGGGGTATGTTCCCATACTCCGAGGAAAACAGCTGAACTTGGAGGCTGCTTTTTGAAGATCATCGAAATTCAAACTTGTGGGTATTCCAGGATCTTGAGTTCCAACATAGTGTTGATTCCTTTTATGGCCAAACGTACAGATGATCATAGTGCGCCGAGTGTAAAGACTGAGCATGCCATTGCAGACAGTTTGGAGGTGTGTGAACATGATTATCACTGGAGAGCAATGGTTAAAGTCCCTGCAGGACGAGATCCCACGAGATATCTCCTTCCTGCAAACTGAGTCAATAACCTAGTTATCACTTCATACACCCCAGGTTTAAAGATTCAATACATGCACTACGTATAGTACATGCTGCGTCTTTGCTTCATGATTGGGGTAAGGGAACTTGTGAGACTGTAATACCAAGAAAGCTATCGAAGAAGCATTTTAACCAAGATAAATATCCGGATTGCATCCTCTCCAAAGAACTTTCTTTGGATGTCAAACCTATCAGGTAGATCAAGCTTTATGGCCGGTGTATATCATGTATGCATTCTTTCCAAGCACGTACTTGAACAAGCATTGTAATAGAGTATATAGAATCTAGAATATATGATGTATAATATAGATTGCAGTTTGTAGATGAATACATGTATGAATATATGTATTTCAGTGGATAGACCAAACATAAAAGCAGCATCTGATTCTCATGCTCAAAGAAGGGGAAATGTTTTTGTGGACGCTCGCACGGTCTAGATACTAAAATACCCAGACAAAAATCATCTTCAAAGCGGCACGTATGTAATCCCGGCACTGGTACTTTTGGCTTACTCTCTTCTATTTACCTACTGGGTAGTAGTTTCCGTACTAGGAGGTACTTAGATTTCTACACCTTTATCATTATACCTAGGTAATTCCTACCTACCTCTTAAATTTCGTGATCATTGTGCGACTGCAACCCCTACCTTGCAAGTACCTTATCCGCATGCTTCAAGATCAATTCCTCAATTTTTGGCATGAGAGCCATAGCTCAACTCCGTTCTACATACCAAATTCACCAAATCTCACTCAGTCGCGAAGTTCGAACTGTTTCACAGCTGCAAACCTAGCTGCTCATCAAAGCACTCCCGCTCACGCATCGACGTCATCCGAACCTCCCGATCATCCGAGTTCTAAATTTGCGATTTATTGCGATTGAAACACACATGAGTACATAATAATTTCGCGGACTGCTCAAAGACTTAGGGCTCACAAAGCTATTAGAAGTGGTGGTGTTTAGGCGGATTAGGGGTCTGGAACAATAAATGTATATGGTTCTGTGAAACAGGCATTACACAGCAAGTAATAGGATCTTAGAAGGCGCTCACAGAAATGATGCCCTCGGGTCAACATCAAAACTTTCAGGCGCAGAATGCCTCTGATTTTCAGAATGCAAATCACTCTCATCAACTGTTAGCACAGAATACCCCGCCCCTTGATGTATTAGGAACGCCTAATCTTGAAGGATTCGAGTTTCCCTATGTATTCGGGGAGAATACCGTAACTCCAGGTGAGCTGAAGTTGGATAGCACTTCAGATCCATTTAATCTCGCGAATTCTACCGAACATGGAGATTCCATATCATCTATACCTCCCATGCATCGAAATGGTTATGGCAGCATATCTGGACCAACGGCTCGGCATCCTAGCTTTAGTGGGGGGTCAGATGAAGCAAGTCCCACAAGCAGTCGAATGGTAGGAAATTTTCACCAAGGCGATACCCCTATGGTGGATGATCTCAAGACGAATACAGGAGGTTCTGGGGATGGCAGCGAAGAGAAAGGAAAGGACAAACCTGAATTAGCACCTGCGTGGACTGAACTCAAAACTAAGGCAGGTAAAGAGCGAAAAAGATTGCCACTGGCTTGTACAGCATGCCGAAGAAAAAAGATTCGTTGTTCAGGAGAGAAGCCTGCATGTGTAAATTGCACCAGGTCGAAAATTCCTTGTGTGTACAAGGTCACGACAAAAAAAGCGACGCCAAGGACGGATTACATGGCAATGCTTGACAAGAGGATAAAGCGAATGGAAACGCGCATCATGAATACTATGCCAAAGGAAGAACAAAAAGAACAAACTGGCACGCTCACATTAGCAAGAGCTAATGTTAAGCCCCCAATTCCGGGAACGTTACCATCTAAAAATTCTGCTGGAAAAAAACGACCCGCAGAAGAAGCATTTGGGCCAGATTTGAATGATTGGTCGAAGTCGACGATTAAGCCTTCGAAGGAGAATGTGAAAGCGGCTTTGAAATCCAAGGTTGTATCAGCACAGGAAGACGCAGAAAGCAAACTCCTGAAAGATGGCAAAGATAAGCTACCTTCGCGAGAGCTTCAAGAGCACTTGGCAGAGGTATTCTTCGAAAAGATTTATGGCCAGACATATCACTTACTACACAAGCCAAGCTTCATGATGAAATTAAAGTTAGTTTTGACACAAATAATCTGATTTTGAGTACTAACAAAATTTGTAGGTCCGAAGTACTTCCTCCTGTCCTAGTGTTAGCCGTCTGTGCTTGCGCAGCTCGATTTTCCGACCATGTGGAATTGACTACAGCACCGCCCTTCCTAAAAGGGGAAGAGTGGGCTTCTGAAGCTCGCGATATTGTTTTGAAACGATACGACTTTCCAAATATCACAATTTTGACGTGCCTGCTTATTTTGGGGTTTCATGAGTTTGGCACTTGTCACGGCGGTAGAAGCTGGGCATTGGCAGGGCAAGCAATCCGGATGGCATATGCTTTACAACTACATAAAGATCTTGACTACGACCCTCAGAAGCCGAAGCTTGATGAGAAAGGCAATGCGGTGAAACTCAGCTTCATCGATAGGGAAATCCGACGAAGAACAATGTGGGCATGCTTTCTCATGGATAGGTTTGAATCTTCTGGAACTGGTCGACCAACATTTGTCAAAGAAGGAACTCTTGAGATTCAGTTGCCTGTGAAGGAGAACATGTTTCTGCTCGACATTCCAGGATCAACAGAAAGTCTCCACGGGGAGGTTGTACATCAGAGCACGCCTAGTGGTCCAAGATTGGCTAGCCCCAGACAAAATTTAGGTGTAGCAGCATATGTGATTCGATCAATTGCACTGTATTCTAATATTGTCACTCATTTCAATCAAGGTGGTTTCGACAAAGATCCATATCCTATATGGTCACCGGAATCGAAGTACTCTAGCCTAGTCAAGAAATTGAAGGAATTTAAAGAAGCTATGCCAAAAGAGATGGTATATAATGCCGAAAATCTTAGTTCACACCGATCCGAGGGACTAGCAAATCAGTTCATATTTCTTTACATTGTCATTGAACAATCTAATCTATTCCTCGATCACTATCCGGTAATTTTAGAACGGAATGGGCCTCGATCCGATGCTCCCAAAGAATTCATAACTCAACAAGAGTCCAAATCGATAGAAGCAGCCGGTCGCATCGCTGGACTCATCGATGACGGAAAATCTTTGTCTCTCACTGCACCTTTCGTTGGGTATTGTGCATTCTCGGCCAGTATGCTTTTAGTCGGCGGTATCTTTTCGGGGAATCCTAGTTTGGAGGAGTCTTCTAGGAAGCACCTTACAATTACTCTGAGATACATAACAATGATGAAGAAACATTGGGGCATGTTTCACTCGTTATCGGAAACTCTCAGAAGTCATTATAAAGCATGTGCAGACAAAGTTATTGCTGGTTCGAGTAACGACTCGAGGTCAAGCATTCCTCAATACGGAGACTGGTTTGATAAATTCCCACATGGTGTATCACAGTCTGACTTTGAAGATCCTGCTGCAGCTGTCAAGAAAGAAAAAGGGGACGATGCTGTTCTCGAACAGAAGTCGGACTTGAAGACTGTGGCGAATTACGTCAAGGATCTACCCACCGCCTCCCCCAAACAACAACCAAATTCCAAGCCGGCAAAGCAAAAGGCAAAAAGAACACAATCTACATCACAGTCTTCACGTCCCCCACAGCTGGATACCATGCAAGCCATGCCTTCTGATATGCAAGCTTCACATCAAGGAATGCAGGTATCGACCCCATCATCCTCTCATCCACAGATGACATCTCAACAAGCACCTCAAAATTCATATAACCAAAGTATTATGTCACCAGCTGCTCTCTATCCGCCACCACAGTATGTTAATCATCACGACCTTCTCATGCGGTCGCAGCGATCGCAACAACCGCACAATATAGGCCAGCGGCAACTTAATGAAGTTTTAGGATTCGATTACACGACAATGGATCACTCGGCTATGAATGGCAATGGTTTGCATGGTGGTGTCATGAACGGCAATAGTATGAATGGCAGTATAAATAATAGTGGTACACCAGGCACGAATCATAATGGCGATGGATCAATGTTGAATTGGGGAGATATTGGCCTGGGCGGAATGGGAAATGGTTATGATATGCTGGGTCTTGAGAATGGAATGCCTAACGCATGGTATCCACCTTTTAATCTGAGTCCGCCTCCTATCAATGTGGACGGAATGAACGATGATGCATTTGGAGGCAATTCTGTTGGAGGAGAGTTCGAAATGAGAATGGGTGGTCAGGGTATGATGGGTATGAATATGGGTGGGGTAGATGGAGGTGGTGGTATGGGTGGGCATTGATGAAGTATTGACCTGTGTCATTCTTGCTTGAGGTTGTTGTGAATAGGAAAATATGGAGAAAATTATATAATTCTGCGTTTGGAGTTTGGATTTGGATTTGGATTTGGATTTCTACGCGGTTTAGTGCCAGTCCGTTTTGTGTTTAGGTATGGATGGATATTGGAACAAACATATCCTTGGCTGGGTGGTTTGGGTGATCGGTCGGTCGGTTTGCTTAAGGGATGGGTTCTTTCTAGGGCAAACGGAAAACGTAGGAAACTTCTCACGAGGGCTGTACGGAATGACTGGGAAGGACTGGGTACTTCTGGTTTCTATTCTTTTTTGAAAATAAGGAGTTGGCGGAGTGCGAATGAGTCGTATATGTTAGACACCAGACAAGATGTTGGGATTGGGTAGCATGGAAACTTGAGACTTGAGACTTGGGCATCCAAAGGGATACGTGGAACACGAAATGCCTGAACGCGTTATGATTATGTATGGCATTGCGATGTGCAATTTGGGGAAGTTATATATATCGGTATGGGAGATGTGGATATTAGAGGATGAGATGAAAATACGAAAATTAATATGTTTATTGATATAATGATATATGTATATCATATTGCATTGAGTATTGTTTTTTTTGGGTGATTATGATCATCCTTTTGAGTGAGTGTGTCTGCTTGAACTTACAAGATTATTCTGAGTGTAAGACTGTACATGGAATTTCCAGGCCTATGACCAACGCAGTCGATGTGATATTTTCTGTTTCACAGCATGTCGAAAAACATTAAATCAGGTGTGGAAAAGCATTAATCAAGAATTCACAGTTGGCTCATACACACGTAACAAAACAATGGATTGGTATCTCAACTTTTCTCCGCTACTGGTATTAATCTACACATCTATTTCCTCTTTGCTCCTCCCGTTCTCATAGGCCTCATAGGTTTCTTTCCACCTGGTCCAGGAGGTTTTCCACCCTTAACCTTCTTCTTCCCCTTCTCCTTAGCCAAGACGCCCTTTCCATCTCTCTCCTGTCTACCTTTCTTCCAGATCCTCCCCTCTAATCTCTCTCCCTTATCATCCAACTTCTTCTTATCTTTATTACTCAACTTGCCCTTTTTCTTTCCTCCCACCACGCCATTCAATTCCTCAACACCCAATTTCTTCGCCGCCAACTTCTCCTTCTCAGTCTCAAACCATGTTCTCTTGGGTCTTCCCTTGATTTCCGCTTCGTGATCTATGAAATTTTGTCCCTTGCGAACCTCCATTTCTGCTTGCGCAAGAATCTTATCTTCTTTTTCTTCTTTCAAAATTTCTTCAATCTCATCTGCCATCTCATCAACCTTCTCGCTCCAACTATCTGCCTCGCTAGCCTCGATCACTCGACTGACAACCTTGGCTCCTTGTGTACGACTAGACTTTACTGCTGCTTTGACAACTTTACGATCGGGTTCTGCGGCAATAGTACAAGCGCGCCCTGAACGGCCAGCACGAGCTGTACGTCCGACACGATGAAGATAAATGTCGTGAGATTGAGGGGCTTCGTAGTTGATTACTGTGTCAACACCCTTGATATCGAGACCACGGGAGGCAAGATCAGTAGCGAGAAGGAATGAGGCTTTTCCATCACGGAATGCTTCTACACTTTTGATACGCTGAATTCATTAGTTAGTGGAATATTAGTGACGGGAGTAGAAGTAGAAGCATACCTGTTCTTGACTCATGCTACCGTGCAATTCAGTAGCTTTGAGACCGGACAATCCAAAGATAATACGTGCTCTATGAGCTTCCTTCTTCTGTCTAAAGAATACAATGACTCGATCAGTGTAGACATTTGCGCAGAGATACAAAAGATAACCCATGCGTTTACCCTCTCTTCCTGGACGAAGACGAATGAACTCTTGTGTCAAAGTACCCGCAGTTGACTTCTGGGAATCAACAAGTAGTCGAACAGGTCGGTTGAGACCAACACGGATAAGGTTGTCTACAGATGAAGACATTGTTGCAGAGAATAACATAGTCTGTCTTGACTTAGGAATAGTCGTTAAAATTTCATTCAACTCATCGGCGAAACCAGCTTCAAGCATTCTATCGGCTTCATCGAGAACAAGAATCTCTAAGGTATCGACAGTAAAACTTGGGGAATTGCGCATGTGATCGATGAAACGACCTGGAGTAGCAATAATGACATCTGGACGAAGACGTAATTCAGCTTCTTGGACTTTCAAACTAAGACCTCCAACTGCCAAACAAAATTTGATATCTGTATGACTTGCGAGTTTCGTAGCGACTGCATGACATTGGATTGCCAATTCACGAGTTGGCATAAGAATAGCCACTCTACTAGTTGGCACTTTCTTTGGTCTGTATAGAAGACGTTCAAGAACCGGAACGATAAATGCTGCTGTCTTTCCAGAACCAGTGACAGCACCACCAACAACATCCTTTCCAAGTAAAGCAACAGGTATAGTTTTCGATTGAATTGGTGTAGGTTGCGTGAAACCGACAGTGGCAAGACCTCGAAGAATTGGTCGAGATAATGACATGCTTTGAAATGTTGTATTGAGTTCTTGTTTTGCACCCTTGACTGGCTTTTCTTCAGGAGCGAAAAATGCTTCTCTCTTAGCAGCTTCTTCTGGGTCATCGTCCATATCCTCATCTTCGTCGGAAGCCTCGGAAGCAGCATCGTCTGGGTGAGGTGCCGGAGATGCGACTGAGTCGTTATCTGAATCGTCATCTTCTCCCTCTTCATTATCTTCTGCATCAGAATCATCCTCTGCTCCAGACTCTTCCGCAGATCCGGCGCCCATTCCAAATCCATCTTCGGCCATGAATTCATCATCTTCATCCTCAAAATCCATACCCTCGGGCGCATCTTGTTCTTCGTTTGAAGCTATGGCGTCTTCTTGGTCTGCCATTACTTCATCATCTGCTTCTCCCTTCTTTCCAGATGCCTTCTTCTTTTCTCTTCTTCGTGCAATGATTTCATCAATATCCACTGCTTTTTTATCACCTCCATTGAGTCCCTTCTTCGCTCCATCGAATCCCCAACCCTCAAATTCCTCTAAATCTGCGCCACCTGTTCCGTCTGCTTCCAATGCAAATTCAAAATCGGAATCCATTGCCCCATCATCGGCATCCTTAATTCCCCATATTCCCTCTTCTTCCACCTCCTCTTCCTCAGACTTCTTCTTTGACTTTTTGGACTTTTTTGTAGAAGCAGTATCATCGTTGCGTTTGCGTTTTTTGTTCGAGGAGGGATCTAGAGGCAATTCCTCTTCAACCACATTAGTTAAGTCTTCGCCTTCATTATCTGATAGTGTGAGAACAAAGTCATCGTCGCGATTGCGTTTGGGTGCCATGTTTGGATTATACTGTCTTAAGATTTTCGATCACTGGAGAAAAAAAGTTAGAGGGTGGTTTTACCGCCTGGCAGAATCTTTTTTTGCTGACTAAATTGGTTAGTTTTCAAAGACTGTATAAAATCTCGGGCACGACAAATGATGTGAATAAATCATGCTTCATAGTTAGGTATAATAGGAGGAAAATCACAATAAAGCTTCAACAGAGGAACAGATCTTGATTTCTTGGATTATTTCCTGTGTATTTCTCAATTTAAGTACATTCAGCTCAATAGAAGCTCCGTCAGATCTCGTTCGTTAACTGCAGATCTTTGAGAATTTTAGCACCAAAGGGTAGAAACTCCTCGCAAATTGTATTCCATCGTTCAATGCTTCCATTCTTTCCTTCATTTTGTCAACTCCGAATTCTTCACATTCAACCCAGAGTCTTTCCCTGATTATCACACTTGAAAATACAAGTAATTAAAGTCAATATGATCCTAAGCGCAGCCGCCTTCAGAGTGATGGAATCTGCCATAGTGTCACATTGAAAAGAAAAGAAGAAAAATGGAAATAAAGGGTATTGGATATTCGAAAGTCGAGACTGTCTCGATCAATCACGCTCATGATTAAGACAGTTAGACCATATGTGTGAATTCTCCTGAATGCTCGAGTTCCTTTTGGAAGTGCACGACGTCGAGCCACTCTACTGGACTCTTTAATACAGAAGTTCGACCAACAGAAATGAGTCGAATTTCATCCAGGAACCAGAAGTTGCGCAAGAACTTCTTCATCCACTCGTAATTGATGTTATCCTTTTTGACGGGAACCTCGATGATCAGTTGGTGACAGCGAGCGCCACAACCGTGGCCGTAGGCACGATCATTATCAGGGTTGAGCCAGTTGTATCCACCATGACTAGACCAAGCACGACTTGAAACCACGAGGAGCCGATCTAGAACACAACCACCGATTCCCTTGCGAGTATATTCAGGGTGAACATAAAAGTGTAGATTGTGTGTAAATCTGGATCGACCGTTAGATTTTCCAGTAAGTCCACAACCACGAATCTCGGTGTATCCAAAGCCAACGATATTCTCATACTGCGGTAACTTGGTCTTGGCCTTTGGATTGGCGGATTTCGCTGGAATACAACCTTTGACGGCAACCACGAAAGGTAACTTCTCTTTTTTGGTGACCTGAATGAGGAAAATAATGTCATTCTCAGCGACTGGCTCTTGATCCTCTGTAATATAAGACTCGCGAATGTAATGGTTGTAAATCTCCAAAATTTGCTTTGCATCAGCTTCAGTGGCGGGTCGTAGATAAATCTCAATCTTAGGGGCAGATGTATTTGACTCGGGTTCTTCTGCCATTTGCCGCACATAGTGAGCATTACTTGCTATGACAGATTGTTCTTGTGCTTTTCGAGCCCTCTCTACATGCTGGAAGTAAGCTGCTGCATTTTTGGCTGCAGTCTGATGGAGTCTCTTTTGTTCATCGGAGGCATTCGAAATATCTAGCAGCAAAGTTAGTTCATCAAACCAAGGCCAAGTGCATGAATATTTCAAGGAAACAAACTTACCAGGAATTGTTGGCTCATGATGGGGTGCTTTGGAAAGGACGACGTTATTGACAACGAACTCGCCAGATCTAAAACCTTCGGCAGAGGTGTCGATAGTAACTGTGACTGGCTGCACAGGGCTGACATTGTTAGACCACTCACGGATATAAGATGGAATATAAGTAGAATCGAAAGCTCCACGCTCCTCCCAAATTGGTGGTGTACACCATTTACCATCCCAATCGCACAAGGTCAAAATTGCATCTTTTGTTTCAGATAGACGAACGCCTTCCTTGGATTCTGTACCAATGTCGGCCTTTTTCAACTGGTCGCCAATGTCAGAAAAGCTAGAAATTGTCCAGAATGGAGGCGAAGAAACTAAGCTAACAGCTTGATCTAAGTTATCCATAAGTTTTCCATTCAATGGATCGTTGACTTGTGTGCTGGTAAGAATGGCAGCCTGTTTCTCCTTTGGTGCGAAGCTGTGAACAGCCATGTGGGAAACTTTGTCCTGGGAGGACTCGCCCTTCAAAGCAGGTAAACTAATAGCAGCATTCGTATTGTTATCATCAACCGTGCTCATTACACTAACAACTTTCTCAGTAGAAGGATTTGCATTCAAAATATTTTCCTTCTTGGTGATCGGGGGATCTGCGAAGCGGCGAGCAAGAAACACACTGAAATCGGCTGTTCCAGCAGCTAGCTTGCGCTTTTCTGCATTTGCTTCGGCCTTTGTCGGCTTTCTTGGGACAGGCTTTGGTGATATAGGCTGTGGAACAGTTTGTTGTTGTGCTCGTACCTCCGCATCTGCAGCCGCTTTGTTCGCAATGAATGTCTGGAAGTCTTCATCTGCTTTGCTTAGAGTCTTGCCTTGAGTCAATTTTGAAGTGGTCCACTGTATAAATGTGCGTTAGCAAGATTCGTACTCTTCAGAGTCACGACAGGTACAGGGATGAAAGAGAGGTGTATCGGAGAATTGAACATCAAATAGATGGCAAAGATCATGTGAAAGCGAGAGAAAACGGACAGATCAAGTGTCAAATTGCTTACAGAGTTGACTGGTGCGGGTATTAGAGGCTTGTTCGACATGTTTGTGTCTGAGTTCTGTCTTTGAGGAAAGGTCGACTTTTCAGTACTGGGGAATTCTGGATAAAGCTATCAGTAATTGTTGAATCAATCTGAAGCTAGCGCCAATACAACCTACCTAACTTGTGCTCAAAAGTATTTTTGATATTTGAGTTGACTTCCTCATCTGTAGAGGTTTGAGGCTGCTGGGAAATTGAAAGGGGAAGGTGATTCGGAGAAGCGGGAGGAGACTCAGATTCTATTTGCTGTATATTCACTAGTGCACAATTTTGTTAGCGTTAACTTTTTCTGATTCTGAAGACTTTTTCAGTTTTGAAAGTGAATTGTACCCTTGAAACTTTCGGCTTGTGTTGTTTGTTTTGAAGCAGCGATAGACTTTCTCTTCAAATCTCTCTCTTGTTTATCCTTAAGTAGCATTCGCATAAACTCGTCTTCCCTCATCAGAGAACGACCAGAGATGACTGTCTGAGTGGGGGCAGCCAGTGGGCACGACTCACTACTTACACCACCAGGAACTAAAGCTTGCACGGGAGAGCTGGTGATGTGCGTAGCTGGGATAGAAGATGGTGCAACAGAACCAATAGCAACAAAGAGCTCTTGGCTTGCGACTGAGATGTTTTCATTAACTTTAGTGTTTGCTTTGGCATCTGGGATAACAACAACAGGAGACTGAGTTAAAGTTAGTGATGTGAATAGATGATGGAATCAAAAGCCATACCAAGGCTGGGACCATGACAGCTTTATTGGCACTGTCGACTCTGGGTGAATTGGCATTTTGAGATTTACCCATACGCTTGTGAAAGTCTGCCATGAGCCTCTGCTCCATCAACTTCTCAGGAGTTGGCTTCTTGACTACGCCATCCTTGACAGCAGCGGTTGAGCACTTGAGTATATAGTCAGTAATAGCAACAGAAACTAAGAGGTAGACTAACTGGAGCCAATGAAACACCACCGCCGCCACTAGAAGGCGATTCCTCGAGACTCCGAGGGGTGAAAGACTTGGCTGAACCACTCAAAGAAGGAGATATACTCTTCGGCTTAGTGGGGTTAGAGATGATCGCATTTCCCTTGAATGCACTTTCCCCGGAACTGCTTTGAAAGTTGAATTTGTTGATGGCGTTGTCGTGAACCTTAGGAGAAACTTACACAATCAGCGAGCGAAAGAAGGGATATGGGGAAAAATACTTACAGCGAGAATTCTTTAAGCCTCCCAGCTTTGACAACTGAGATGCCAGGTCGTTCTTTCCTGTCGACACGCTCATGTTCGCCATATTTGGTGGCGGTGAAGGTGTATGTCTACACAGGGAGTTGTCATCCAAGTCGAGATTTCTCGGACCGCCTGGTGTGACTTGATAAAGCTTCTGATGACCAACTGCGAATCTTGATGAACCAAGACCGTTTACCTTCCCGGCGATCTCACGCACCTCATCTTTGAATGCTAGATAATCTTGTTCGAAATCTCCTCGGAGGCGTTTGATGCGGGCCTTCTCAAACTCCTCGTCTCTCTCTGTTGAAACTATTATTTTAGAGGGGTGTTCCATTGCCTTGAGACTATTATAAAGGCGAGATTAATTGCACAAAGATGCCTGGTGAGGAAGAGTATAAATTGTAATCGACAAAGCAGTAGAGTGTCGCGAAAAGGAGTGGAACTGCAAAGTGATTCGCTATCTGTGCGTGAAATATTGAAAAAGACGGATAAGATGAACAGTGAGTAAAGTAGATAGTAATTCTGTCCGTTTTTATAGGCTGTTGAGGAAAATACGAAGAAATTGATACCAACTTTGTAGAAGAAAGAGATACCTTCAACGGAAAGTGACAACAAGGTACCTAGGCAATCTTTTATTGTCGTGGCTGAGTCATTGTTCAGTGTTATTGAGACGAGTCCGAAGGTGAGTATATTACTACCTGGTTAACTGAAATGAGGTGTGTTGTGGAAGAGTGAATGGAGTGAAATAGAATAATCGGGAGGGAACAGAAATTGAAATGCTTCATGGATGTTGGGACTTTTTCTTCTTCGAATTAGATCAAACTTTCGAACCGAGAGAAGAGTAAGAGGAGTTTCCAATCTATGAATCACAGATCATACCATATGTCTATCATTAATTACATTGTGAAAGAATGACTACAATAGAGATTGTGGTTTGAATCGGGAAGCTACAACTTGCAGTATCGAAACATTGACATCTCGTTGCGCAGACTGACGAGCACGCGAGAACATCTCCAGCAGCTGCGAATGACCATTTGATCTATCACCTACCTACTGGTAGCGAATAAATCTTCATCTACCAACTGATTTACTTTTCAAACGAATATTGAAACCTCAGAACATGAGAATATATCACGTGATTTGTTGTCTCTCCATAGAATGTGAGCAGAACGCTTCATTTCTTCCCTGCGATGAACATTTGAGAGCAATACCAACGACGACATAGAAAGATTTTGGTAAAGATGTTATCGATATTACGCAAGGCGAGACTCAAGGACAAGGAGATGAGAATTTTGATGCTGTATGAGACTGCCATTCCCTCTGACAATCCTTCCTTGATGATCATCTTTTTCTAATTTTTCGCACAGCGGACTGGATAATGCTGGCAAGACCACGATAGTCAAAAGAATCATGGGCGAAGATGTCAATACTGTGAGCCCAACACTGGGTTTCATCATCAAAACTATTGAGCACTCTGGGTACATCTTATGCTACCTATGAAGAAGTTACAGCACGCTGACCATTTAAAGTTACAAGCTGAACATTTGTATTGCCTCTTTAACTTTCCGCTATTTCTAGTGAAATATATACTGAACCTTACAATTGTAGGGGATGTTGGTGGTCAAAAGACTCTCCGATCATACTGGAGAAACTATTTTGAGAAGACTGATGCTTTGATATGGGTGGTTGATGCCACTGACCATCTACGTATTGAAGATTGCAAGGAAGAGTTGCATGCTTTACTGCAGGAAGAGGTTTGTCAATAGTAAAGTATTGAGTTTTTACAATGCCAATAACTGACACTCTATAGCGACTTTCTGGGGCGAGTCTTCTTGTATTTGCCAACAAGACAGATGTTAATGGCTGCATGACCAAGACCGAAATAAAAGATGTGAGTGAAGACCGAAAGACATGCAGGCGTAGAGGTCGTCGTCAAGAGAAGTGGACATACTAACCGGAAATAGATGTTGGTGCTAGATGAAATTCGGACGCACAAATGGCACATCATTAATTGCAGCGCGATCACAGGCGATAATTTGGACGAAGGACTGACTTGGGTTGTCGAGGACTCCAAGGAACGATTATTTCTATATTGATGTCGGTGAACGAGTCGAAAAAGTCCACTACTACCGAAATAGAATACTAGGTACTTACTATACCTATACGGAGTACAATGTACTAGACCACTGGTGGATCTCCGAAATTCGTTCAACCCAATACTAGGAATATCCCATTCAACTCATTTTAGTGACATAGTTACGAAAAGAAGAGATTTGTTTATTTTAATTTGGGACTTCTCTAGTGTCATTTGATTCTGTGCCCAGCCCAGCTTACTTATTAGATGGGTGTACGGGTACGGGTACCTTAATAACCTTACCCCTTTGTGAAAAAAATTGATAATCGGGCCAGGATCTTCTTTGTTTTGGGTCATAGGAGCTTCTATTGTTTATTGTTTGTATACGACGTAAGCGCGTAATTGTGTGACAGCCGCCGCTCCAGGAACGGCACGAAGTACACCCAGTAGATATTGATCAATTATGAATGTATTCACAGGTAGGGAGATAGGTAGGTAGGTATAGAATATTCGAAACTTATCGTGAGAAGTGTGCATCAATACATCTGTCATGACTTTTTGAAGCACGCAAGTATACGACGATAGAATATGTGCCACGTTTTATGTATGTACAGTTGTAAAAAGAAAAAATGGCAACAACCCAAGGTTGTATCCATACCTAGGTATCTATGTGCTCGTAACCTTACTTAAATGAAAGCTTGCAGCTTAAGTTATGAACTTTATGAAACCTTGACCAAGCGAACCTTGGAAGCTTCAACCTTCCTTACTAGAACAATCCTTTGAGGTACTCAACAACCTCGACCCCTCGTGCAAACGCGTTTACCCCGCCGAGTTGTAACTTGGATTGTCCTGTTTTCTAAAATACACCATTTAAATTTCTTCTCCCGTGTTGTTGTGCCGCCGCCTCCTATAAACATGTCGAACACCGAAGGAGAACCCGATGTCAATGATTTCTTGCAGCGTATCAAGGAATTGGGCAATAAACGGGACCAAGAAGACGAAGACCGCACAAGAAAGTTAGAGGAAGAGATATTGCAAGGCAGAAAAGAAAGACAAGCTCGCAGAGCTGGTAATTGATTTCTATTTAAACTTTCTTTTCAGAGACATTGTTCCGCCCGTCGCCATACTATAATATGATAGGTCAGAAAGGTACTTCTTGCTAATGTTTACTTCAGAAAGGGCATTATCCATCTCACCTACGAAGTCCTCTCCTATGAGTATACCTAGAAGACCTATATCAGGCATTCTTTCAACTTCAGACGACCAATCCTCTGAGTCTCGGCGCGGGAGTGTTGTTGACAACGACGTAGACGAAATGGCCTTAAACTCAGTGCCGGATTTGAAGCGGACCTCTCAGTTTAGAGATTCACCGTCAAATGCTATGCCCTCAAGAAATTCACCTTTATCATGGGCTCGCAGACCAGAACCTTCCGATAAACCGCGGAGTCGACCTTTATCCATGGTTGCTACAGATAGGGTAATGCTATCGAAAACAACTACACCGACACCTGAGAATACCACGTCTGCCGATGATAATACCCCTTCTCGAGAACAAATTGCGCAATCACTAGTATCCAAAGATCCAGCTTGGTTCAGGCAAACCGCCGATCGAGGCGTTAATTCACCAGCTTACAGAAAGAATCAGGTAGAAGACGAAGAGAGAGCAACACACGGGTCAATTCAGATGCCAGGAATGGCTCGTAATAATTCTACGCCAGACAAGGCACCGAACGAGGTCAAGGATTATTCTTCAACTCCTACAAGATCGCCCACAAGGCCTCCGGCAAGGAATAGCATTTCATATGGAAGTGGCTCTAGAATGTCATTTCAGAGCAACCCGGGTGTTGGCATGGGATCACCAATTCCAGTGACTGACGCTCAGAGATTGGATCCACCTGCTGCTGATAGTTCGTCGGACACTCGAGGCCTAGCAATGTCACCTTCGCAGGGTCGCATATCGCCCGATAGACTAGACCGACCCAATTCTCCAACCAAAGGAATGGGTGGATTTGTCCAAAGTGCGATGATGAAAAGATCGGAGAGTATGAATAAGCGGTGGTCTGTTGCTTCACCATCATTAGATCGGAAGAATTCGTCTTTTGATCCTACTGCGGATAACCAATCAACTTCTCCCTCGAGGCCTGCGTCAAGACCTACCTCAAGCCATGGTGAACTCCACCGCCCGGGCACAGCAAGCTCTATGAAAAGCAATGTAACCAATTCTACGATGAATGATAATTCCAACTTCATGAGACCATCTTTGGCAACAACCAGATCTTACACTCCGGCCGAAGCTAAAGAGATAGATAGTGGGAATCAATCGCCTCCAGCAGATGATAGTTTGCCTGTTAGTCCTACGAAAACTGCGGACTCAAGACGATGGAGTCCTACCAAATCTAGTTGGCTCGAGAGCGCGTTAAACAAACCTGAATCACCGAAACCTAAAGCCACACCACCGCCTCAACAACCATCGTGGATGTCAGAAATTAACAGAGCAAAACAGAAAGGCAGTGTCGACTTGGGTAGAAGTCAGACCGTGAAGCACGAAGTCAACATTGGTGGGCTAATGAGATCTCCTCCTCCTGGCGCATTGATAACGCCTTCAAGTATTCGAGGCTTCCCAACAGCATTTTCTCCTGGCATTACACCACAGCGAAACATCGAGAGCATGATTAATCAGGATAGTAAGAGCGCCGCTGGAAATGCAAAAGCCGAAAGGCCATCGACACCCTCCACTTCCACTCCCATTTCTGACACCACACAAAAATCCAATCCAAATTTCACATCCACCCCATCTGGAACAACCAAAGCCAGTTTGAATTCACCTGCTAGTTCAGTGAAAGTCAAGCCTACAACTCCTCCAAAGAATGATTTCCGTTCTGTTTTGAAATCACGCCAGGTAGCTGCTGATGAAAAGCCCAAAGAAGAGCCAGAATTTAAGAATATCTTTGGTCAACTACGGAGGACGAAGACTCAAAGTTACATTGCGCCGGATATGCTCAAGGACAATATCACACGTGGAAAGGCAGGTCTCAACCTTACTGGAGGTCCTGTAAAGACTGAACGTAAAGATGAATTCAAAGACGCGATATTGAAAAAGAAAGAGGATTTCAAGAAGGTACAAGCTGAGGGAAATGGAGTTTCGAGATCTGCCAGTAGCGAAAGTCGGGAGAATGTGGTACCTGAAGCATTGCGGCGAAGAAACACCCTTGGAAGAAATGGTTCCGTTTCTAATATTGCATCGACCTGGGAATCCAGTTCACCACAGCGGAATGCTTCTGCCAATCCCACGCCAAACTTAGTCAAGGAGACCAGTGCTCCAGCACGCATGCAAGAAAAGAATGCAATTGGAGGTAAGCTTGCTGGACGTTTTAATCCTGGTCTCGCAGATTTACTTGCCAGGGGCCCGCCTTCACTTGCTAGTGAAACCTCAAGATCTTCAAGTGCCTCGTTATCTCAGCGCACAATCAGTATGAGCACTTCGACAACTAATCCCGAATCGAGCGAGAATGGACCACAACTCACACATATGACTAAAGGGCGTGCCCGTGGACCAAGACGAAAGGCGCCATCTACAGCCGCACCAGCCCAAGCAACATCAGCGCCAGAACCCGAAGAAAGAGCCGAAGAAAATGTTCCCGCTACATCCCCTACCAAGTCTATCGTTGCGTCTGAGCAACTTTCATCGCCTGCTACAAGCCCAATAAAGCAGACAATTTCAGCCTTGAACACAGAACAGGTGCCAGAAAGCACTCCCGTTTCTCAGCCTTCATCACCACGGAAGCTAGATATGAGAAGACGATCTCTTTTCCTACAAGAAGCACCAAAGAATAAGGATACACCATCGTTGGAAGCCCCTAAACCACTTTCTTCCGTCAAAATTGCTAATTTCCCCGAGAACACGGTAAAGGCACACCACAACAAGCTCGAGGCAACAGTTTTGCCAGATCCACCAAAGCCAGAGCCCCTAGCGCCTGCCAAATCTCCATCACCAACCAAAATCTATGAGGATCGTACATTCAATGAACCTGTGTCACCAGAGACTGCAAAGCTTCGTCCTGCTCCGTTATCCCCAAGAAAAGCAAATTCGTTAAAATCTCCACCGCAATTCTCACCTCATTTTGATCAGCCACCACCACTCAGTCCATCGAGATCAGTTAAGCATACTGCAGCATTGTGGGGTCGATCCACTGCAGAACCACCTGCTCGTATACCTTCTCCAATACAATTGCCAACCTACGAAGATGAGAAGGCTGCTTTAGTAGGCGCAGGTTTACGACCTACAAGTCCATTGAAACGAAACAAGTCTCATGAAGACGATAAGATAAAACTAGCAGGTGTAGGTTTACCGCCTATTAGTCCGTTGAAGCGAAATAAGTCTATTGATCTAGGACTACGAATGGGACCAAAATCTACAAAAGAGTCAACACCCGCGCGCGCTCTTCCCATCCCTCCAACCAAAACACTAACATCACCAGTAATAAGCCCAGGTCTTCGTTCACCCAGCATGGCCTACTCTCCAGTACCTCAAGCATCTGAAGCGTCCCAACTTCTTGCTGATTTCTTCGGTGAGGAACCCAAGCCAACCCCAACTTACTCAGTCGATACAGCAAGGATTTTGATGGCCCGACAAGATACTATCTCAACGATACGGACATTGCAATCCAGTCTATTTTATTTATTTGGGGATGGAAAGAGGCAGTCTGTTCCTACTCACCAAGAGCGTGTTCTTTTTGAGCGTGAGATGTACTTATGCCCCCATACATTTACCAATGCGACTGGTAGAAAAGTGACAGAAGTATACTGGTGGATTGGGGATGAAGTTCCTGAACACGTTGTTACCGGCGTCGAGATATTTGCTCAGAGAGAAGCCAAAGGTTTTGGTGGAAAGTTTGTTACATTGAGACAAGGCAAAGAAACTCCAGAGTTTTACCAAGCTTTAGGTGGTATCATCATTATCAGGAGAGGATCTTCTAACAAGTATGATTCTCTCGCTCCTCATATTCTCTGCGCAAGACAACAGTATGGAATGTTGGTATTTGACGAGGTTGATTACTCTCCTTCAGTCTTATGTTCCGGATTTCCATATCTTATATCCTCGCCATCAGGCAAGACATATCTATGGAAGGGTCGAGGTAGTACCGCTGAAGAACATGGTTGTGCAAGGCTGCTCGGAATGGAAATATCGATGACTGGTGATATCGAAGAAATTGAGGATGGCGATGAACCTTCGTCATTCTTGAGAGTGTTCGAGAATTGCAAACAGATTCCACAATCAGCTGATCACTGGAAACTTAAGCCAGCCTATAATAAATATTCCGCTCGTTTGTTCTGTGCTACCGCTACAGGAAAAGAACAAGTATGTCCTCGGTTTCTTCTATGCATAACCTCCCACTGACATATCTCAGATCATCGAAATAAACCCCTTCTCCCAGGCTGACCTCTTTCCAACTGGTATTTTCATTCTTGATGCCTTTTTCGAAATCTACATTGTCATCGGGGCCAAAGCTCAGTCCCAATATGGCCCCTTCCATACCGCACTTCAATTCGTACAGGAATATGGGATCCTTTCAGCGGGCATGGAAGATCGTCCTTTTGTACCTGTTTCAACAGTAGTCATCGAAGGGATCCCGAAAGATTTGAAAAGTGTGTTTAGAAAGTGGAGTGAGGGAAGAGCCCCAACTATTACTGTACAACCGAGCGTGAAACAAGGGGGAACTGATTTGAAGAGAGTGAGAAGTTTGAGGGTCGTGCCGTTGACGGCGGCATTGGAGGCTACGAGGGGTTAGACGAGTATGGGAATAGTCGTGTATTATCTACTGCTTTTTAAGGGGTGACTCGCTTGGGATGAGTGGATTGCTTGGTGCTTGTATTTTTAATTTGCTGGACTTTAAATTTGACGCAACTTTAGTAGTGGATAGAAACACACACGTGCATGGAGGAATGGATTGGAGGAGCATATTTGTTGCGGGTTTTTGTTTCCTTGCTTTGTAAGATACATCATTTGACACGCGTATACTCCATGGAGTACACTTTTGGGAGGTGGGGGTTATTTTGAGGTTTTACATACAGATAGTGTAATTGTAAGAATTCAATATATTTTCTGTTTACGTTAAGGTTTAGGTCGGTGTGTGTGTTTGTGTAGATTCATTTTCGTGAAGAGATACGAGGAGAATCACTGCGCATGTTGTGGTGTATTACTACCATATGAGATGATTCAAGAAGAACCAAAAGGAAGATTTGGGCATCTGAATAGTGTGATACGATCTGATTAAAAATTAAAAATTAAAGATTAAAGAACATAAACTAGGGTTTCTATCAACGAGATGATAGTTGGATAAAATTTAGATACATGACGTCGAGATCTCTTTATAAATTAGGAGGAAGAACCCCAAGGGTTCGGATAAGCATTGTTATTAAGAGTGTTGTTGCATGTCGAGTCTATCTCGAGAATGGGAATGAATATCTAGGTAGGTATCGATATCGGTATTGGTAATGTGCAGTGATGTGATGTGACGTGGTGTAGTGGGAGAGTGGTATGATATCTACTAAGTAGGTAGATGCTGATTTCCTTTTCGCGGGTTTCGAGGAGGAGGATCCTCTTGGATAGAATTGATGGGGCAGATGGTTCCGCAGGCTCTGGTTCGAGGGCTGTGGAGGTGTGGTGTGAAGATCGCGAGGATTGGGGCTGTTTTCGAACGGTTGGGTTAGGCGCGAAGGAATATTTTGGTATTAATGGATGTTGATTCGTGGCGGTTGATGTGGTGTCTAGCTTGACGTAGCAGATGAGGGTGAGCGAGAGTAGAGAATCTTCTTCGCGACTTCGAAATAACTCCGGACCCCGCTTCATCGACCTCTATGCGATTGTATGCCCAAATACGATTCCGATCCACTTACAATGAACGATAAGCTGTATTTAAAGATACGCGGCTTTCCAGTGGATATAGAATGTCGTATGTACACTGTGGATAGTAAGACCTCGAACAGTTGGTAATAAGGACGGCAACTAGATCGTGAACAAGTGTGACGACTGATAAAATGTCGCGGCGTTTCGAACATTGGCAAGGCGGAAGCTAGTCGCTCACTGGTCAACACAAAGAAACGTCCAGTTGTGGTGTGGGAGAGTCTCGGGCGTAGTCGTATGTGCACGATTAAGCCTCAAGGAGCTTTTGCAAGTGCTTTGCATGTTCCTCTTTAAGCTCATCACTTAAAATCCCTATGTACACCCCATTGCACATTTCCGCGGAATTTTGTAGCATTGAGCATTTGATCACATCATCCACTTTACGGAGTGTTATCTCGTTCACTACCGGAAATATGCACTTATCCATCGTTTTGTCAGTAAGGTGTTTGTATTCATCACCGCCAAAGCGAAACATTTTCCTTGCGACAATCCATCGAGCTTCGGAGCTGGTATGAGCATGTCTTAACATCAACTTGCAGCTCCAGATAACTTCTTCCTGTGGATATACAAATTGAGTCAAGTGACGGCTATCTTCGTGGACTTCGATGAGTGTGGTGTTGATTGCAAGCTTCCATATAGTTTCTCTGATTTCTGTAGGTAACTTGCGGAATTTAGTGAGCTCGTGTAATTGAGAAGAGGCTTTCACATTCACGCTCTCACGATGAACTGCCTCTACATCGTTGACGTCATCATCGATAATATCATCATAAATCTTGCATTGCTTGTAATTGTGCTCCTTATCTTCTTTGTCCGGGTTTGCTTCGCTTCCACGTATTCTCCTAAGCTCTTGTTCGCCTAGGTGCTTATTGTGAGTGACCTGCATATTTAATTGTTGCAAGGAGGTAGGCGTGATTAACGTCTTTTTGAGTATACGTTATTGTAATAGATGAAATAGGAGAAGTAGAATAAGCTTCCTCTGGATAGATGGCGTATCTTTCTCAAGAAATAGAATCAAAAACGGCAATCAATATGATTTCAAGTCTGATTTCATTGGAAACTAAGCTTGAGGAGGGTTTCGTCGTGGAATTGAGAATCGACTTGTCGTAGGAGTAACATACATTATATTGTGCATTAACTCGAATTGAGAAGATATGTGATCAAGAATTGTTGGATACACGTTAGGGTATTAGAAAAGAATTATTAATTGTCATGAGGAAAAATTACAGATGAAAATCCCATAATCTGTAGGGAATCTGGGGATTTAAAGGTTCGAGGAAAAGGCGGCTGCGCAAGCTAGTCGTTAGAGTGAAGCTAAACACGCTCGAGACACGGTAGTGGAAAAAGCTAATCTTTGGACTAACATCAGTTTCTGTGGGTACGAAAGAATAGAGAGAATCATAATAACTGGGACACTGATTCACGACTAGTAAATAAAATCACCTGCAGTGCATGGTATAAGAAAATGGGAATCAACAGTAGGTAAATATCGAGATGCTGCCCAAAAGAATCAAAACGAGGGAATACCACCCACAGTATGAAAGGGGAAAATGAATTCTGGAAGCAAAGATGAGTTTGGATATATAAAATTAATCGCTGCACAAACATTTCTTGGTCATACCCCTGGATATCTAAACGGAAAACAAATACTGAGGCGTCTTCTATCTCTACAATATAAGTATTGCGTCTCTTGATAGACTTTCATCATCCTTTCGCATATAGTTAGGGCCAAGAAATTCCCAGAGTAGGACTTCCGCCAAGCATTTCGAATAATTCTATGTCTTTCATTTCATTTGGTAGCCAACTGAACTCCTCCAGATTCGAGAAGTCGTCTCCATATGTGCATCGAGGAGGTTCTATTCTCTGGGTTTCAGAAATTTTCCATTCCCATTGCATTTTCTCGTTCAGGACAAGGTTTGCTAACTCACTCATCTGCATGGGTCTTTCTGAAACCGGGTATACTTCTCTAGGTTGATAAATCAGTTTCTGTTCGAGTTTCCAGAAATCTCGTACGAGGTTGATAGTCGATGAGCTATCCCACATCCCCTCCTTTCTTGGATATCGCAGTAGAAGTTCCAATGCTTGGTGACGAGTTATTTCATTGAGCGATTTAATGCAAGTGACTGATCAGGAAGTGGAATCAGTATTAAGTTATAACATTGTAGACTAGACAACTTACAATATAACGGAGCAATCAACCCCAAATCTGTTGAGAATGTGAATGCAGGTCTCCCAGCTTTAGCATCTTCCTCTGCAGCATTAATCAAAGATCTCGCAAGACTGACGATGACTTGGAACTCCGAATCAAACACGGCGAACTTTTTGGGTTCGTTGATGAAGTCCTTGATCATTCGAGGATCGTCTGGGTCTAGTTCGGTAACCCTAGCCATAATATGCACAGTTGCATAATGTACTTTGCAAAGTGCAGCACCCCTCAATTGTTTACTGTCAAAAGTATGACTGTGGCTTTTCATGAAGTTCTCAAATGAGACTCTCCAAGCGTCCAATTGCGTGCGAGATTTTACATATAAATCCATCGCTGATTTTGGTTGACAGGCGGAAGGAAGGTTGCCATCCCATAAGTAGCCGCCTCGAAAAAGGCTATCAGATGCGTGAAGGAGGCTTCTTCTTGCTGCATTCAGGTTTTTGAATTCTCTCGGTATAATATTTTCTCGAGTACTGATAGTTGATATTACTTTTGCGAAGGCCATGCGTTCTGGAGTTTCTCTGGTATCGATGTACAGAATAGCTTGTATGCAAAGTCTCATGAACATGGGCACAATGTTTTCTTCTATCAGATCCTCGTCTTGAGAATTATTTCGTAATCGCAAATTCTGCAAAATCTTTAAGCCACTCTGCAAATGCATCACTGCGCTTGAGAAATGACCGCGTAAAGAATCAAAACAAACGAAAAGAATACAAGACATTAAAGCTGTGAGAGGTTTCTGTTTGCCTGCCGCTAAAGACCGTCTAAGGTGCGAAATGGCCTTTGTATATTGACTTGTAGCGAACCCAAATCCTGATCTTGCAGCATCGCATTTCGTCGCAAGATCTAATCTTCGGTTCGAGAAATCTTCGTGGAGAGTTCCAAGCCCTATGATAGCATGCCGGAGAGATGGATCCACAGAGCTTGCTTGCAATATGAGATGATTCCAGAAAGAGGGATCAAAATATCCACTGAGCTCTGTTGCTGTATTGGAAACAAAGTACTGAAAACCTCGCCGTTCATTTACAGTACCAGGTAAAGATGTAGGGACTCGTTGGATGTCTGTCAATGTTTGTATTTCCGGGCTCAACCTTTTTAGGTCTGTGGAATACCCATCACATTTTCGTCCAGTGGAAACACATCGTTCACATGAAGGCTTGGCTTCATCGCACTTGACTCGACGTATCCTGGATCATGTCAATTAGGATCATTCTTTGGCTGGAACAACATTTCAAATTCATACTTGCAAGTTTGGCAGCCTGTCTTCACTTTGGGTCCACATCTCCTAGATCGGGGTATCATTTGATTAGGGGTTTCGATAGGCATTGTCTCTTCAAAGCTTTCGAAAAATCTCCGGGGGATCTAATCGAATTGTCAATGATGCCGGGAATGAATAATCAAGTAAATACGATGCAACCTCTCACACGAAAGTAGAAAAGGCTTGGAATGGAAAGCTAAATGTCCCTATGTCAATATATACATATATGGCACTGCCCACCTGGGCATTACATGAAAATCTTACATGCTCCCCTTTCTTGATACTCAGCCTTATGTGATGTGGAGGGTGCATGAGATGGTGCATATAGAATTCCACCAATCTGTAGGCATTCTTTCCTTGCCTGAGATATTCTAAATCAAGAAACCTCTTGACACTGTGAAATTGAGTTAACTCGGAAATCCTCTTTGCTTTGCCTTCGGCAGCAGCCTCGCCTGAGCCACAAGGCTAACATCGCAAAAGATGCGAGTGAACCAATGAAACATGATTATATAATGTCTTACTAAATAAATCTCCATCATTCACCGCCTCAATTAAGCTATCTTAAGTATCTTGACTCCACATTTGGCGTCGACTTTTATGTCAAAGAATGGGATTCATTCTCCAAATTCATACTTCAATTTAATGCTCCACGCGCTCCTCTTCTAACACAGTCAGATCTTACAGATTAAGAGTAATTCAAGTCCTTGGCTGAACGGCGCAGAACCCCGAATTGATGACCTTTGATGGTGTCCATGAACATGAAAGGTATAGAAAGATATAAATGAAGAAGGCCCAGCTCTGATTTTACACTCGTGCACTTACAGATCTCTCTACGGGCCATAAGATTGATTGCTTTTATTTCTTTAAGTATGAGAGCCAAAAAGGGAAAATCAACGAGTGTGAAAAATCATAGGTCAAAAATCTAAAGATTGAAGATCGACTCCGACACCTGAGTGATTCGAACACTCGCTCCCGAGGGAAATGCCTGACTCTGTTTATACAGTAGCAGGGCATCGCGTTAACCACTCCGCCAAAGTGCCAAATTTATATAATTCTATATATCCAATTGTGTATAACTTGTATTCGGAAAGACAGTGGGGATTTGAGGGTAACTGGTTTGGTTGAGCGGGTGTGGTGGAGCTGGCAATATTCAAGAGCCCGCATGGATCCACATAGCGCGGCTATATGCACATAGGATTTCCATCGCTCAATATCATTTGCAAACGTTATGATAGCTTCAAGGTTAAGGCCCAACAGCTCCAAAAACGTTCCGAGGATCTGGTTGATCTCATCTTGTATATGAGCCTCACCCTGCGACTTGCAACAAATCTTTGAGGGCATGTAGTTTTGATCAAGTGATGATCAGCCTCCCCCGATCCTTCACCATGCAAGAACCCACGGCTACCTGATCGATCTAACGGATCTAGCATTGAACGAATTCATTTCAAGATCATCGGCAGGACGCACTGCGTGGCAGCTGGACTCACATTTATCACATCGCCATAAACATAACCCTCGATTGTTTGGTTGGAGGGTATCTTGATGACAGACAGGTACCATGACGATTGAGCATGGCATGGATCTGATCATTGCTTTCCGCATTAGCAATAACCAAGTTGGTCTATAGCACAAATATAATGTATTTGATTCCATACATATTACGACTTGTTCCAAAGTCAGAGATTTACCCTGTGCTGCTTGCAATGGATGAAACCTTATACCCTGTACCTCCCCCTTCTCTCCTGGGCCCTGCAAGAAAGTACTAAATTGTTTCGATTATTCAGTCCTCATCATCTCTCCTTGGTGAAGAAGAAGAAGAAGAAGAAGAAGAAGAAGAAGAAGAAGAAGAAGGAAATCGATCATCTGATTGACTTTCAAAGCAAAACACTATAATCTGAGGTCAATTTGATACTATCAAGGGAATTCCTGATTCGCCTTCCATGATCAGCTTGATATCTACCAGATCCTGCCGATTTCTTCTTTTCTCTCCTCACTAGGGAGAAGAAAACTCCTTCCCTTCCCTAATCAAGGAGAGGAGAGGAATTTGAATACTCTAGACCTTACTTGCAGATACATTATGTGTGGTTAGGTAGCTCTCAAGTGTCAAGGACAAAAGTCCGGCAGGGAAAGTTTCTGCTTTTTAGATATAATTCATTTCGATAAGTCCTTCCGAAAACTTGAAGTTGTATATATAGCTAACCCTTGAACTTTTATTATTATCTTCATGATTTTGTAAGCTTTTGAGTTTTTCATAATTATCTTTTTCAATATCGTTATTGCTAATATATCTTTCTTAGAACAATTTCAAAGTCAATCTTTATTAATATTATAATAATGATATCATAATCCAATTTTTACAAGTGAAATTCTTTCACAATATTTAAGGTAGTATTAATCATATCTAGCCCTTCGCTTCTTATTGAAAACAATATTTTTGATATTATATATCTGATCGTCTTTCCGGATGTAATCAGGCTGTGGGTAAATAATGGTTAACAATAGCAAAGTTTTGATAATATAGCTACTTTACCTAGGTATGGACTCTTTTGGTAGGTAGTGTTTTCAGTATACGGCTCTAGGACTTCAACTAGAATAATTCAAAATTGAAGGCTCTGTGCAGAAAAAATGTTTCAATCTGGAAGGTAAAGCGATGAAAACTGAGATGGTAAGTCAATGAGATTGTTGGACTATAATTTGGGGGGTGATATGGTTGCTTAATGTTTGACGATGTTGATTCAATGTTGGTTTTTGATACGAATCCGTACTTTATCATTGTTGTTCGTTTAAAGAAGAGTTTTTGAGATATCTTGGAATTGATAATGTTCCGCTTCACCAAATCCAGTGATGACTAATTATCACATGACGCACGGCTTCAAATGGCTTCACATCACATGGCTTCATATCTAGGATTGTAGAGCTATTCATGAGCTACAATCATGAACTAGGTATTTAATGATAACTTATTTTTTAATGATAAGTTCTTAGTACAACAAGCTGCTGTGATATAAGTCCTAAGATGCCTAGGAAAATAATAAGGGGAGTAGTAAGAGACAAAGGTTGTATCTTATCTTGGGTACAGATCACACAGTTTCATTTTATTAGTGGTGGCATAATCCATGATACATGCATCACGTAGAAATTGATGGCTGGAGATAATATACAATTGTAGATTCAGCAGTTGAGGCCAAAGAAACTTTTGCTATTTGAGAAAAGATTATAATTTGAATAATGAAAATGGAGTTTTGAAAGAAGATATTACTATATCGGAGTACATCTACTATGTATAATGGAGATAATCGTAACTTGTCTATTCGTGCAGTCAGAAAGCATACTATACTCCGTACTCTATTCACAGATATGTGCTATAAGGTGGTAGGATACAAGATGATAATTGGTGGCCTCACATTTGGGTGAGTGGAGTGTTATATGTATGCTTTCTATCTGCACGAGGATAGGTAACTTATATTATTATGAGTGATAATAAGATAGCGCACCTAATATGTTGTCGCACTTTCGAGGCTCCTCAGGCAACTCCCTTCGGAACCCCGAAAGTGCTAAGGAGACCGGGGTTCGACTCCCCGTCAGAGAGTTCAGCATAGAATTCCTTGAATCTCATATTCAATTTTATTTTTGACAATTTTTTGTGTCCGATTTTTTTTGTGGTTGTGGCAGGCAGTCTTGACGTTTTTTTGCTAGCCGAGGCGATTGGCACGTGATACGTTAACCTGAACCGATATTCGGTTTGATTGCTAACCTCAATATCGACAAATGATTTCCTCTCTATAGAAAACGACCACGAACAAAGAATTGTATTTGGTAATGTTAAACAGACTGTCAGCCTTTTCTTACCCAACGGAGATTCAAGTATGCTCTCATATGCGCCGAAGGGAGTAATTAGGCCCTTGAAGTGTTTTACTGGTGGTCAAACTTCCTATTCGCTTGATTAAGATATACATACTTCTTTCTACTGCTTTCGAGTGTCCAAAAGGAACTGAATATATAGGACTAGACGCTGCAATTCCTATATTCTCTGATGATTTGGGTGATTGATGAATGGACTGTAGTTACTAGTATTTTTGCTTGGATCTCGGGAATCTCAACGCTCACGGATTGGGATTGAGAATAACGGAAAGTCTATATCTTCTCGTGTATTTGATTCTCTGGTTCTGCAAGAAGTGGATCGGGGAATCATAGATATAATTATCAATCATCAATCTTTGATTCCAGACAAGAACACACTAAAGTTCCCACATATTTCCAACTATCCCCCTCATAATCTCATCTCTATATCTCTCTATCAAAATCACTGGGTTTCCTGTACGGTATTCCAATCCCCTTTGAAAACACTATTCGACACCAGCTTCATTGAATGATCAAATCATGTCAGATGGTCTCGATTTTGGAAATACTATTGGCACATTTGAAACCGGTACAAATCAGATACCTTCCTATCATACCCCTCCCATCTCTCCAGAAGGAACACACCTCAAGTCTAAGCTAGATAGCCTTATTGATCCTTTCTCTATATCCAATATCTCCAAGTATGTACGAGCTTGAGGGTTAAATATAAGCCAGCCCGTAAGATCACATCAAGATGTACGACGATGAAGCTTCAAACCAGTGACTTTACATGAATAATGCGCAGTCTATTCTTGTCTTGAAAAATAATCTTGCTCGGTAGGTAGTTGTGGGTATACTTTTGGAGATGATTTGGATCCATATATCGCGCTTATTGCCATTAGGCATATTATTCATCGATCGGCTCTTGGGGCGCGGAGTTGTCACTGTCTCAAACCAGATTCTACCAGTCTCGTCTCATCGATTGCTAGACAAGAGGTTAAATGCCCATCACTCAAGCACCACACGCTGGTACTTGAAAATTAGAGATGGCTCTGTGAGAAGTAAAAGAAAGGGCCTTCTCCGCGTACACCGTAGGATGAGCAAGCAAATCTAGAAATGCGATAAAGCTATTTCCAAGTTGCTCGAGCGCTGATGAGATTGAAAGGTAAATTATCCGAGACACATTCGTTAGCACCAGAGGGACCAAGTATTCACCAAAGAAACTCTTCCTCCCCACAATATCAAGATATTCCGAACATAACTTACCATCTCTCATATCACCCTACCAAATGACACCCATAACAAAACAAATGCCAAACATCAGCAACACACCAGCATACATAAAGTAGGCAATGAAAGCCAATGCATTCTTCTATGGAAATAGCTATGTACACCAAGATTATGAAATCCCTCGCTATCTTGCTGCAAGCAGCAGAATTAACCATTACATTTTCTCTGTATCCTATGAACCTCTCTCTCTGTCTCTAGGTAAGATACATCTTGTATATCCTCCTGGAACCTGCAGAATTTTCTGCACTATCGTGATATTTGTAATTTCGTAGTAAGTGGGGGGGATGAAAGTGGAAAATCGTTCCGTCTATACATATGTAGCATGTGTAATATGTATAAACAGTCGAAGTATCCTCGCTCCAACGCCTATGTTTTCGTAAAGTCGTAAAGTCGTATGGAGAATCAATTCATAAGTCTCTTTTTCTCTCTCCGTCTATCGATCCGTCTATCAAATCCTTGATCGATGAAACTTTTTTGCAACAAGTTAAAATCCGTAAAAGACAATATAATCTTACAAGCCGTCGAAGTCCTTGTATCCCCAATCTTATCTCCTAGTCATCCTCAATTATCCTTCATCACTCATCTGTTGTCCTCCCAAAACCCTGCTCCCTTTCATCTCCCATCCCCCAAATTCTCAAACAGAATTGACACTAACATCAATCCCACAAATAAGACTCCAGATCTCTCCCCGTCTCCCTCTCATACACAACCCCCTCAAACTCCGGTTTTCTCCAACCCACGACATCGCGTTCCATCATATTCATGTAAGCTCTATACGCGCCCAAACTCATGTATTCATGACAACCCGGACAGTCGAAATACTTCTCTGCCCTTCCTTCCCAATTATTATCGCAAACATGATCTCTGCTCAAGAACTCCGGGTCCTGTTGCACAAACACTCCTTGCCTATAATTGAAAACTCGAGGAGAAGAGGAAGGTTCTGTCATCCATTCTCCGTTATCAATAGGATGATGACGACAACGCTCCCATGTGTCTTCTCTCGACAAGATGCTGAAACTCTCAACACCATTATTCTCCCAATTGTAACTAATCTGCGGATATCCTCGGATCCTTCTCAACTCAGGTCTCTTACAAATGGGCGCATAAACAATTTTAAGGGTTTTCAGCTCCCTCAATTTTAAATCCGAGGACTTGGAACGATGACTCCAATCGCCCCAGAGGAGACGGAGTTCGATTGGTGAATCAATAAGTGAAGAATCGATTGCAAGATGTTTAACATCACTCAATGGATGACGAGCCGCCGAATCATTGGCCCCAAAGATCGCCTTGGTAGTCGTGAAATTACTAGTATAAGGACTCACGTCTTCAATAGAAGTTGCAGCTCGTCGAATATAAACAGTATCAACATCGAGATCTACGTAAATTCTAGCCCCACATGCTGAAGGTGGGAGAGCCAACTGTTTGAAGAGAGGGAGGAGTTCATCGCGCGCTTCGCCGCAGGTAGAGAGAACTGCAGGAATGGGACTAAGCGAAACGAGTGACTCTGTTGGGTGGTCATAGGTGAGGTGTACAATGCGGGGGTGGCAGGCCGCAAATTTCCAGATCTTGACGCGTAATTCTTTAGGGAGGAAGGGGAAAAGGCTGAAGGTTGTCGAGGTTGAGGAGCGGAGGAACATTCTTGGGAGGGTTTCTGGTAAGGGCCAAGATAGTTGTTGAAGTTCTAGGACTGGAGTTCCGGGAAGTGGTGATTCAGAAATTGACGATTCAGAAATTGGAGGTGTTAAAGGTGGAGTAGCAATGGTATCGACCGTTGAAGCATAAATCGATTCATTTCCCATAATGTCAGTTGCAGAAGCATAGATTGATTCTCTACCCATGGTGACGTTTAAGTAATCATGATAATCATCAGTGAGCGGAGGTGTTGCTGGTGCTATGATGAAGTTCGAGCCATCATTGGGTAGTGGTGGATTTGTTGTTTGCTTTCGCTAGAATAATTGTTAGAAATGTTTGTGGTTTGCGGGATACAGGAATTGATGGTAGTAATACAGTTTTGGACCACAACATCGACAATCTTGATATCATTTTTGATTCGATTCGCAATCACTGCTGTAATTTTGGAAGACCTGGCCGAGATTCGCAAGGATATGAAGCACCCGAGCATTTTCTGGTGGTACCTTTGGAGGGAAAGAAGGGAGAAGGGGATGGAAGAAACTTACAACAGACAACTTTTGGAGGTTCTGTAAGATTCCTCTTTTGATTGACCTTGGACTAAGTGAATGGAGTATTTCACCTGCCATTGTAGGTGATGTACCGTTGAAACCTTTGCAGCTTTCTATAGTAGATATTCGAATACTTGTTGTTAGAATTTGCGTAAAGACAGATCGGAAGAAGATTGTTGGAACAGGAAGATAACAAAGACCTGATATGTGAAATTGTTTGCAGACTTCTATTCACTCTCGAGGCGCGCTTGATTTGAAAGAGATCAGAACGTGTTACCCACATGCTCTCGAATCTGGTAGGTGGTGATCTTGATGCGAAAAGTGAATCTGTATGTTATTGATAATCGGGATAAGAACTATCAAGGCGTGTATCTTCTACTGTCCTTGTGCTGTGCCATGTTATGAAGATGTTTTAATCTACCGAGAAGGGTATTTGCTTGAAGATGGTGACAACAGAACTTTCTGGCATGATTGTTCTAAACGAAAGGACAAACAAGTAACGGCACAGCCCCCACGTTTTTTTGACCTTCAAGCAGATTCGAGATCATAACTCTCATGGATAGTGGTATGATAGAAAAGATTGCCATGGCAACAATGGAAATGGTACATAACGTGTACATGATGAAACATAACATTGATATATGGTCTTCATCTTCACATATCAAAACATATGATTGAGCTGCCAAAGATGAAGTTGATGAAAAATGCTGTAACTTGCCTTTAAAGCTTGTTATAGCTTTGGAAAAACGCGATTAAACAATGTCATTCAACACGACGAGTACAAGAAAGGAAGATAGCTGAACATCATGAGTCTATCAAGGACGCATAGCTCTGCTCCAATACAACTACAAAGCAGTATAAAGAACAAACACGAGGAAGACCTGCAAGTAAGAGGCTGCCTTGATCTCCAAGTGCTTCTATGTTTCCCTACATAGGTAGCCTTTCCAATATCATGTGCCTCCAGCTACCTATGTAGGTTAAGATCTTCTCATACCGCTGTACTTCAGATGATAGTCGTCTGTATATGAGTCAGGTTCGTGGGTAGAGGGAGGGGTAGAGATTCAACCAGGGAGTTATTCACCAATAGTGATCGACGCCGTTGACCTTGTGATGTTGCAATATCCTCATTTGATAAAGATATACATAGACATCCCTATGATGCTTGAATATACCAAAGTCCGCATTACTAGAAAGAACTAGAAAGACGAATATCATTGTAGACAAGGGAACATGGCCATAGAAAGTGCGGATATTTACGTGACTCTATTTTCGATCTATTTTTGAAATTTCTCCATGATTAACTCGATGTAATGCGATGAATGTGATGAATGTGATGTTCCCTTTCATCCTGTAGTCCTACGTGTAACATGCAAGCTCAAACTTAAAATGAACAAGGACAAGGGTTATGCATCACCCACAATTAAACCCCAAACATCCCAAACATCGTCATTCTACCTAAGAATTACTATGAAATAATGCACAACACAACATCCATATTTCTCAAGATATCTTTACCCTCAATCGAGGGCATATCTATATTCACTCCTCACACATAGATCCCATTTCTTTGGATATGCGATGGCAGCCCAACGTCGAGGAGAAGATCTATTGAACATCGAAATTAGTAACATCACTGCCGATCTCCCACCCCTCTCTGCACTATTCATGATATATTTCGATATCAAGGCTGGCTATACGATTGGATGGAAACGCTCATTACCAGGCATCGAGTTAGATGGAGTGGTCGAATATAGGAGTCTGCCGTCGGGCTTACATACAGTGGAAGAGGATCTTATATACTTCACCCATGATAACTATGCAGGACTCAGCGCATTCATCAATGCGCCTGCAGATACAGGTTCGAGGAATGCGAGGATGATTGCTGTAGGTATCATGGTACCTTTGAGTTATGGAAGGTTGGGCAGGAGCTGGAAGCATGCCGAGAGCTTGAAGGACCTCGCAAGGTATGACTACGCGACCAATTGGTGTGATGCCTGCTGATGCTCTTTTCAGCGAGCTTATACTTGACGAGAGCAAGACGGAGCGACTTGAGAGATTCTGGGAGAGTAATAAAGGCGATGATCTGGGCAAAAGTAGAGACACCGACTCACTACTAGATTCTCCGTCTAGTGCTAGATATAAAGCTCGGAATACACCACCGAAAGCAAAAGGGCACAACAGAGATCGTTCAGCTTCCGATGGCACAGCTTTAATACCCCCCGGACACACATTGTCGGTATATCACCCTGCTTGGAGCTTACCAAGACTATTGGACACATTTGGCCCTATGATATTCCCAATACATAGAGCTGCACTTTTACGGAAGAGGATTTTGATCAGTGCGCATGCGCCTGTACATGAGACATGCGATTTTGGTTAGAAAGCCTTTCTATGCTGTTCTTACATCAACTAATTTCAAATAGTGTATGACATATCCATTCTATCAAATATTCCACTTGCAGTCAGCGATCTACTAGAACCAACTGCACCACCACAAAGACTTCGACCCCTTTTCTCAATCGGCGTCCACGATATACCCCTCCTCGAAGATGACCTCAACGCCTCGAAACAAAGAGCCGCCTGCGAAGATACCGTTCAGACTGAAGGGCGCGACGAACCTGGCTGTGGTTGGATAGCATGTACAACCGACAGTATTCTTGCTACCAAAACCCATCTCTACGATGTCCTCATAACCATGCCACCACCACACGCCTCCACCTCCACCGCAAAAGTCTGGCCCAAAATCGAATTATCGCCTGGCGGCGTCGAACTAAAAGCCACCCAACGTGATCTACGCCGCTACAAAGCCCTACGGTGGGGTCTATCCCGAACCCCCCAGCCCGCTTCCCCGGACATAAGCACGTCGCGCCGCGCATCCACCACCTCCTACCTCGAGCAATTTCCCGCCCCCACCACCCTTGATACCTCCACTGCTACTCTTACTCCCCGAGACGATCCTAATCTCGATATCTCTGATACAGACTCTATCATTGAGCCCGTCTCCTGGGCTGCGCTCGCATATTCCGGATTCATATGGTGGGCTTCAGCGGGCGAACAACGCCTCCATTCTCAAGAAGAATGGGAAGCTGATTCGGCACTTCTGTCCTCTCCTCATACACCAAATCCCTTCCCTACTCCATTAGGTTTCAATGCGAGTGGGATGATAACCGCGGAAACGGAGATGGGCATTATTGCCTATTTTCATCGTTTTACTACGCAGATCCTTACGTGCTTGAGTGATATTATTGATGCGAGCGATTCGGACGATGAAAGAGAAGATGATCAAATACATTCACATAGTTCTTCTTCCCTGTTAATCAATAGAGGAAATCGTAGCAGTTCCGGTGGTGGCGATAGAGGAGGAGACGCAACTGACAATTCCTCTTTGGTAGAGGAAGAAGAAGAAGGAGATGGACTGAGCTGTGTATACATCAGTAGTGCAGATATGGAACGCATGGGTCTCGATGTATGGAGCGCAGGCGACTATAAGTTTGTAGAGGGGATCGTGAAAGAATATTTTGGGAGGAAGGCAAAGATTGAAGGGAGAGGAGTGGATATTTGTGGTGTGAGGATTTGTTAGGGAGGTTGTGAGCTGGGGACAGTTTGGATTGGGACTGGGGTAGCGAGAGATGGGTTGGCAGAGTTGCCATTGTTGTACTTCATTCAAACCCCTTTCTTTTCGTCTTTATATAGGAAGAAGAAAAGGAGCGCCAACATGGGAGTTCTGGATCGGCGTGTAGGAGTTTGGAATCTTGAATCCTCATCTGGATCTGAATTTGATGCTGGTTTTGGTGTTGGTGTTAGAAAGCAAGGACAGAAGGAAAAGGAAAGGATTGAATCACGCGTCGAAATATTCATATAGACAAATTTCAATTGCGTCACTTTCATCTCATGCTTCACATCATTTGCACCATGAAAACAGTAAACAGACGCATTTAGATATATTTTAAGGGTATAAATGAATGATGTGCTTGAAATGGACATGAGAAGGTTAAACGTATTCATTCTTTCATAATCGAAAAGTTCAATTCAATTCATTGCATTTCTGTTCTGCTCTGTTCTGCTCTCCAAGCAAAGCTACAGTCGCACACAGCAAGCTATGTGTATAACATAAAACGCCAACCCAAAATGCTCATCACGCCTATTTTGTACAAGTACACACGTTAAAGTTTCCCCCAATAAAGAAAAAATCCCGAACACCCAAGAGAATCAGTCAGGTAAACGTAAAAGAGTAAGTGTTGAAAATCCGCTTCAGAATGGATTCATGATATAGATTTAGAAGTAGACGAGCGTGAATCATTATTCCCCGTCAGTATCCGTATCTGTATCCGTTTCACTCTGTTCATCAACTTCTTCTTCAGTGTTGCTATCCTCATCACTCGAGTCTCGAGTTATTTGCTTCTTCTTTTTGGGTGGCGGGACACCGGTTTTCATGGCTTGCATCTGTCCTGCAAGGGAGTCTATTATAGATTTTGTTATTACGAGCTCAATTAAAAAATGATGATATTGTGATTTTAACATACCTTCATCCGGTTCACTAATATCGTCCTCTGCATCGATTTCCATAGCCTTGCTAGCATCTTCCACGACGAGTGTAGCTTCAAGCTTGGTATCAAATCCAACATATGAATCACAGATGAGATGCATAACAAAGGTGTAGCTCCCGGGTTGTGGGGGAGCTTGGAACTGTGCCTTAAGCGTTTGCATATTAAAAGTAGGTTTTCCACTTTCATCAAATATGGGTTTGTCGAAGGCAAAGAACGTGAAAGGTGGTACAGCAATCTTGCCTTGCTTGCTATCGGTGAGGAAAACATGCCATTTAGGCGAATGGTCACGTGTAAAGTAAGGGGCGAATGCAAGAGGTGGGAAGACCTGCTTATTTTCGGCCTTTTCGCCCTTGGCGGACTTCTTCGCGCGACCAAGGATGGCATCAAGATCATCCTCGTCTGGGTCAATATCTTCCAAATCGAGTTCGTTAACCTTAGGAACGTTCTCGCTTCCAGGAGGGATGAATCGCCCTTTAACAACAAAGGATACTAATGAGCTAGGGGTGATAAACTTTTCGCCTGTAACCTTGAAGAATGCCTTCTCAACCTGTAAATGAGGAAGTTGCTTTGCAGTAGACATGGCCGTCTTATATTGAGCTTCTGTGAGAAGCCCATTTCCAACACTCAACTTCTTTCGGTATGCGTTTGGTAGTGCCATATATTGCTGAAGGGTCAAATGAGTTTTAGAGTCGCCTTCAATTGCCTTTGCAATAGCTGGGGTAATATATGGCAATTGAAGAAGGGGCGAGGCATTTGGCGGTAAAGCTTGAACGATGTTCTGAGCAGTCGCGTATGATGCAAGGATAGGGCCAGTAGTTGTGAAAGCGAGAGTGATAGCTGTGAATGCATTGTTGAGGTCATGAGCGATAGGAGCAACTTCGTACTTTGCCTTATTGAGTTCAGAGTCTTCAAGTTCGGTTCGGCCCAAATATGCCCATAGTAATGCAAGTGCCTTTCGTCGAGCACCGCCATCTAAATCCTCTAGCTTCGTTTTGTCCTTGGCTGACAAGCCCGCTGCAGCAGTGATTCCATCTCCTTCTGCAAGAACTCTTGATTCCAATTTGCCAAGTCCCGAATCAGCTTTGTGGCCTTTTAAAATTTTCTTGTATTCAACACCACTGCTTAAAGCACCAACAATTCCGCCCTCGGTAATGCTCTCTTGATATTCTTGGAACAAGTTGTTGGCACTTTCAATCAGGACCTTCTCTTTTGACATGCGCTGGGTGCCATACCACCAGGTTCCGACGAGGTAAGGAAGTAAAACTCCCAAAAGAAGCGCATAGACAAGTACGACATATTTTCCGTTTCCTTCGGAGATGATCCAGGTAGGCAAAGCAATTCCAATGCTAAAGCTTTGTTTGCCATCGGGATGTCCAAATTGTATATAGTTGTTTCGGATCTCCTCATCAGTAAGCGCCTTGTATGCCTTTGTAAGCTCTACGAAATAATCGTTCAATGATTCGATTGTTTGGTTTTTGGCTGGGTCAGGTCTAATCTTATCAGGGTGGAATTTCAACGAAAGTCGTTTGTAATGTGATTTGATTTCTTTTTCAGTAGCGGACTGTTGCGAAAATTAGCCAAAATCAGAAAGCCAGCCGTGTTTAGAGCCACATTACCTCTTTGATATCCAAGATATCATATGGATTCCAGATTTTTGCTACAGTTCTGGCTGTGACTTGAAATTGATATGCCATAAGAGCTACTATCGCCCACCCCACAACCATGGCAATCATGCGTTTTATCTTTCTCTGTTTTCTTCTCTGTGCCCTCCTTTGACTATCGATGAGGTCCGCATGTTCTGGCTTGTAATCTGTCTTTATTCGGGGCGCCGTGGCGCTTGGATCTGATCTGGGTCTTAAAACGTCCCACGTCAAAGCTGTAGATACGATTCCAACCAGTGTACCGACGAAGATAGGGAAAAATTGTCCCTATAAAATTTTAGCTGGCCTCCTTGTGCTATATGCGCAAAGTTACATACCTGTTCATCGTAGGAATAATCCGTTCCACTCATATTGAAATTATTTTTTGGCCTTCAAGACCTTTCTTTTAAAGTGAAATTGCACGCAAATTAAAATTTTAATTCAACTCTCCCCTCCAAATGTTGTTTGCGACAATGTATCTAGCGAAGGAAGGACATGAAAGAAATTTATAAGTTGATTGTTCTTCAAAAGAAGATGTGTTATCATACGTTTCGACTTTTTGGCCCTCGAGCTTTTGAGATGTGGCTCGAACTTCAGTCATCACTGTAGAAAGAGAGGCTAGCTACTATTGGTATAGTTTGAAGCTCCCCACCAATCGAATCTCGAAAAACGAACTTTAAATTCAGGTGAAATCTGGACAGAGAAGGATATCGAAGAAGGGATATATAAAGGATTTATTTATACATTCCAGATGTGGCCCTCAATAAAATAATAGTATGTAAGAGCTGTATGAAGTGTAAAATCAGGATTGTTTATCATATATTAAGCTCTTTATATTGATGAATATTTACAACAAGCCAATTCCGTTCTTAATCACCTTGGCTTCATTCTATAGTCTTCCCAAAAGTTCGACACCGACAGCACCATCAGCATCATCATATATATCTAAGATTCCCGGCGCAAACTCCTGTATGCCAGATATGAAACCAATCTTATGGCGCCTAGCAATGCAAATCAATGTTTATCCCCACCCAAATGCTTATCTTGATATCATCCTTATCCTTTCTTAGCAAAAACATAGCAAACTTTACATCTTTCATCCTCTAGTACTGAAAGTAAGACGTCGTCATCTAGGGACTGTTTCACGCCGTTTACCTCTGTAGCAATCGAATCCGCCGATTTAACATGGAACATCGAAGTATCAATGTGTCTATACTCCATTAACGCTTGCATCTTCTTTCCATTCTTGGATCGTTTTCCTTTAATGGCTTCAAGAGCAATCTTTTGCTGGGCCTCCACATTTGCTTTGGTTGCTGGCACCAGTGAACAAGCTGGATTGATAGGGAACTCATCATTATCGTCCTCTTCATCATCTTCACTCGCGCTGATCTCTTTGTTGGGTTCCGGGATCTCAGATGATGATACAACTGGCTCCTCGCGACCAACTCCTCCACATTCGCAACCCAGGAGCTCGTGAGTTTGGCATTGGGCATTTACATCTAATCTAAAGAGATCTCGTAACTCATCGGCTGAAAAACTTGCTTCGTTCTTCTTGCCATCCATGACACTGTCGGCGAGCCCCATCTTAGTAACTTGTCGCTGATAGATCTTTTCATCCATGCCTCCCGACATTAGAAACCTGTATATCTTGACTGGACGCTTTTGCCCGTCGCGATGGATACGTGCCATGGCTTGAAGGTCAGTAGCAGGATTCCAGTCAACGTCAAACAATACGAGGCGTGATGCTCCAATTAGATTTATACCAGCACCGCCGGATTTAGCTGAAAGGAGAAAGGCAAAATATTTTGACGCAGGTGTCTTGTTGAACGTGTTTACTAGATCCTGTCGTTTTGCCTGAGGAGTGCTACCATCGAGGCGCAGAAAAGGTAAGTTCAATGACGAAAGGTGTGACATTAGCAGATCGAGAGTAGAAGTGTAGTTGGAGACAAGGACTATCTTTTCGGTAGTTGACTTCGAAAGCCGCAAAAGCATACGATTTAGGACTCTGAATTTACTGCTTGCCACAACTGGATTTTTCTTGAGAATCTCGGGAGGTATGCTTTCTAAAAGCTGAGCAACGTTTGAATTGCTAGGTGTATCTGTATCGCTCTTTTTGACAAGGAGGCTTGGAGCGTTGCAGACTTTCTTAAGCATCGTGATAAGCTGTAGAGAGGCCTCTGAGCTGCCAAGGACTCTACCAAAGACTGGAGAGGCTAGGACATGCTGATATACTTCAGCCTGAGCTTGAGTAGGCTTGCAGAATAGTACATATTCTGTCTTTGGCTTCAAGTATTTTGCAAGTATGCTGGCGTTTCGACGTAATATGAATAACTTTGTCAACTCGGCCAACTCCTCTTCTCGGGCCGTTCCCTTCTCCATGTCGCTCTCTGTAGCACCTGGCTGTCTGCTTTTCAAGATTGGGGCCTCGAAACATTTTTTAAAAGTATTGTAGCCATTGAGAAGACCGGGGTTCACAAAGTCAACCATTGTAAAGAACTCTGATAAATCATTTTGTATGGGTGTTCCAGATAAAATGACTCGTCTCTCGGTATTCAAATTCTTGATTGCTTGCGCCGATTTGTTCGCAGCAGTCTTCAAGCGATGCCCTTCATCGGCTACGACTATATCTATTCCACCTCCTTTCTTTAACTCTTCCTGTACTGTGCGTAGCTTTTCGTACCCGATGATCATGACGCTATAACTCTTGCCGTGAGTGAAATCAGTAAGTCGAATGTTTTTGGATCCATCTGCAACGAAAACGCCTATTCTTTCATTACCCAGCCACTTGTTGAATTCTGCTTTCCAATTAGAGATAAGAGTTACAGGACAGACAATCAAGGCCTTCTTTATGACGCCCCCCTCGTGTGGGTGCTCCGGATTTTGCTTCAATAACGTCCATAACAGCGCGATTGTTTGTAGTGTCTTTCCAAGGCCCATCTCATCAGCTAAAATTGCACCCTGCCCATTGAAGGAACGGTAGCCCATAACGCACTCGTACAAAAACTTAACTCCCTCCTTTTGATGATCACGTAAATGGCGACCCAAGAAAGGATCGACGACAACATCCACAACTTGCTTGCCTTTCGCAACATACTTAGGATTCGGTCGTTGCATTACAATCGCCCCCGGTGCAGAGGGATCATGACGGGGAGTGGGCGCACCGCTTTTATTCTGTGGCATGATTGTCGTTATTAGAAGAGGATTTTTGAATTGGGATTTGACTGCATCACTTTTTGGAGCAGAGGCATAAAAGCTTTTGGCAGGGATTGCCGACCCTAAGCCACTATCCTTTCTCTTCCCAAGCGTGCTCGTAGAATTGGTTTTTGATATATTTGATAGGGTTGGATGAGGCAGAGGTCGTGCGGCTGGACTGCTATGACTGTCTGCTGTAGTAGGTTTACCACCATTGTTTAAAAAGTGTCGGCCAGAAAGAAAATCTGCCTTTGTAATGGCTGCATCAATCTCAACATCCTTCCCTCCAATGCTCAATGTACTGCCGGGTAACAAAGGCTCATTATACATGCAGCGGCCCATATCTCTGCCATCAATATTTTGAAGTCGAGCGTACCCTCCGGTAACTGCGAGTACTCCATCCCCATCCCAGGTCTTATGTTTCTTCATCGTGAATTTTCGCCTGTGGAACTCATTAATATGATTTCAGAGCAAAGGGGGGGGCAAATACCATAATACCAAATAGTATCCGTCAATACTAGTTGGATTTTCAGATGAAGTAGGGGCTTGAGTTGCTTCGATAGGATTCTTGACAACCATCAAAGGTTTTCGGGGCGCATTGGCAGCCGAAGATGCAATCGGAGCCTTAATCTTTGGAGCCTCTTCAACATTGTGAATCAGAAGCCGTCTCTTCTTTGCCACCGGTTTAGTCAAAATTTCTTCCTCAGAATCTGATATGACCTGGACGTCTGAAAATTCATCGACCGGCTTAGAAGGTTTTGGCGCACTTTTTAAGAGTGGAGGCCGGAATGGTTTGAACATTTTATTTTGACATTTGTTGAAAGCAGGGCAAATGCTGAGACGCGATGGTTATAAGGTTCGTGCTTTGTCGCGGATATTTCGATACGCGCCTACACGTGACACTGACTAAACTGACCACTTCATCCAGTAATGGTGAAACGACATCCACTTGATCAATGGTAACAATGTAAGATTAAAACGTTTGTCATCAGGTATAATTATCCATTCATTAAACCTCAACTAAATACACTATTTGAGCTCCAAGATGACTCCGTTTATTTTGTTCAGGTATATCTACATTTATTGAAGCATAGAGTCCAGGCTCTCTCCCAACACCCCCTCGATCTTAACAATCCAGCGATTCGTCTCCTTCTCTACTATCTCATCGTCATCCTCTTGGAGCTCACTAATGAATGGCAACATTTCTGGCAACATAGCCAGCCATTCCTCTCCCAATCTATCCGTCAACGCTTGCTCGCACTTGACTGCTGCAAGTCTAACACTAGATACTTCTGAACGTAGATGCTTTAAGATCATCCCGTTGAGTTCCTTGTGATGATCCGACGAATCAGCGGCAGCAGCAAGCTCAACGATAGCGGGAACAAGTTCATCGATCAAAGGTAATCCCGAGGCGTTCCCAAATTGATCACACAAGACATGTGCGATTGCCTTGAAATGAGCTGGAGATTGCCAAAAGTCATCTAGGTCGTGCTCGAAACATGGTACTAAAGTTCGAAGAACTCTTTTCCATAATTCTCTTGAAGCGTCATTCTTGATATCGGTTTCTTTTAAAATCTGTACGGCATTGTCAAGCAAGTATGTAGCATAATTTGTGACGATTGCCTTGAGGTTGCCAAAGAAAACGGCCATGAACCCGTAAACACTCTGTAAACGCAGGTTTCTGCCAGATTTATCTTTCTTGGGCAATGACGATGACGCCCATTCAACCAGGTCAGAGAACATAGGTCTAAATGTCGAATCGTTGAACTTGTAGATCATCTCTAGAGCGACTTCGTTCACTTGTCCTTCTATTTCTGAAATAGTCTCGTCGCCTTGATCATAATCATCCACATTAGACAAGTGTCTTCGAAGATCGAATGCATTTTGGAATATCTTTGCAAGTATAGTGGAATGTTTGGAGACAACACTCTTTGGATGAGCTTTGATTGACATGCTAAGCATCTCAAGTTGTTCACGGATAGCCTATTTAAATTTAGTAAGTAGTCATAAAACTTTTAAGAATAGCAATGGAAAACTTACCCAAGTTCCTGCCGTTACTGCTTGTGCCCAATTCTTCTCCAAGGCAACGAACATACTCTTAGCATCCACACGCTTTGCAGCCAAGTGAAGACAATTTTCTCTGATCTCATCTGCCTCATCTTCGAGCTCAGCCTCTGCT